ACCAGAAGCATCTGCAAGTGTGACAAGTATATACAGCATAAATATTATAAAGGCTTACTAAAGCCTCAAGGAAGGAAGGATATTCTTTAACATACATGAATATGATGTATTTTTTGTATTTTTTTCTTCTTGTGTACGAACCTCTGTCCTGCATGGCAGTGAACAGTGACATTACCCACATGAATCTGACCTATATATAGTCAATGAATATGATGCATTTTTGTGTACGAACCTCTGTCCTGTTTGGCAGTGAAGAGTGACATTACCACATGAATCTGACCTATATATACATATACTGTCAATGAAAGATACATGTACGAACCTCTGTCCCTGCATGGCAGTGAACAGTGACATTACCCACATAAGAACATAGGAATGGAGGAAACTGCAGCGGGCCTATTGGCCCATACTGGGCAGTCCCGTTTACATCCAACCACCCCTATTGCTCATATACATCCCAACCTATGTTTGAAGCTATCCAGCGTATTCGGGAGTTAATGATGGTGATTGGTAATTTGTTCCATTCATCCACTACTCTGTTTCCAAATCAAAATAATTATTTCGCGCCTAAATCTAAATTTGTCTAATTCTAAAACCATTGTTACGAGTTTGTTCCTGGTTGGATAGCTTGAGTACCTTTTGTAACGTCCCCTTTGTTTTGCCCCTATTTCATTTTATACACCTCTTATCAAGTCGTTCCCTCGCCTTCTATGTCTCAATGCAGGGAGTGCAAATTAAGATGCTTTAACCTGTCTCTATACCTCAAGATTACCAATGCCCGGGATTAGTCTTGTCATTCTCCCTCTGAATTCTTTTCCAAGGATTCTATATCCATTCTGTAACAGTTGACTATGAACTGAACTGCGAATCCAGGAGGTCGCACAAGAAATAATCGCAAGATGACCTCGCTAGTCTTGTAACTAACACTCCTTTTGTATGAACCTGCCACTTTTATTAGCCTTGTTACGCAGCAAAAACACATTGTTTACTTGGCTTAAGGGTTCCTACTTATCATTACCCTAAATCTCGTGAGTCGGATTTCATGGCATTTCATCTAGTAACTGGTTTCCCTGTTTTACATCTCCTATAATGAGTACTTTACATTTGTCCACGTTGAATTTCATCTGCCATTTTTCAGACCAATCGAAAATGGCTTAGATCCTCCTGTAGTTTTGTTGAGTCCTCGTCACACATTTAATAACACGTCCAAATGTTGGTGCGTCTATGCAGATATCTATGTCGTTTATGTATATAAATAATAATGGGTCCAAGTAATACTGAGCCTTGGGGGAACTCCACTCAGACGCTGTTGTTCAATGGGAATTTTAGTGCCATTAATGTCACTCGTATGTTTCCCATCTTGTAACCACGCCCTAATCCATTTAAGGAAGCTACCTTTGATGCCATGTACTTACCTTTCTAATTAGTCTTTCGTGGGGACTTGTCAGCGTTTTGCCAAAGTCGCAGATATACTACGTCATAATTGTGCCCTCATTCAATCGATTCGAAAACTGATGAAAAAGAATGTTAATAAATTAGTTAGACATGAACGCCTTCCAGAAGCTATGCTGGGAATCACTGATCAATTGGTGCTTCTCCAGGTGATTTCGAATCGAGTTTGAAACGATTGCTACCAGAATTTGCTCTACTATTAGATAAAACAGAATTGATTGACAGGTAGTTAGAGGATAGTGACTATCCTCTTTCTTAAAATTTGCATAAGTATCTGCCAGTCCTCCAGATTCTGGTATCACACCTGCTTTCAAGGACATGTTAAATAACTTTGCTATGGGCATGCTAAGCTCTTCCCACATTCTTTAATACTCTGGCAAATATCTCATCGACCAGCATCTTGATAGTTTTAGAATATATCTATTTGCTTACTAATGACGTTACTAGCTACTACTATCTCGCTTAATCTGGTTTTCTTACTATCTCTGAATAGATTTGGTGCCTCGGTATCATGTTTAAATCTTCGGTGAAACGTTGAAATATATTTATTCAGATTATTGCTCATTTCGCCAAGGTCAGTTAGCTTCCGGTATCTGTCTATATTGGTTCCATCTTTTCTTGTTTATTTACATTTGTAGAATCCTTTTAGTTTGTCTTCGCCTCCCTTACATTCTTATCTTCATTATTCCTCTTTAGCTTTCCTTATCTCTTGGTCTTAACCCTATTCGCCAATAATTATAATAATTTCGGAGTGCAAATTTCGCTAATGATTTATCCTTCTACCTATAGCCTCTTCCTTTGGCCAATAATGTTCTTTTTAAATAATTATTTATCCATTTAGGACATTGTCATTCTGATTCATTTTTTGTATGGTATGTTCTTGCCTTTGCACAGTTAAATCATTATTTAAATTGTCGTGGAACCTTGGCAACTTACATCCGTTATCAGGAGGTCAACCGTCAAGTTCAATTTCAAGCATCTCCTCCTCAGCTGCCTCTTCAAAGCATCAAAGTTTGCCCTTCAACTAGACTTTTTGTGAATTTTCCTTACATCTGCCTCTGAAAATCTAACTGAATCTAATTTCTTTGTGATCGCTGTTTACAGTTTTATCTCACTCATTTTACATTGCTAATGAGAAGTTTGTTCAGACAGAACTAAATCGAGTATAGGTTGGCCAAGCGTGGGTTCAATATATGTTGACTTAGGAAATAGTATCCTGAGAGGCAGGGTACTCAAAACACCTCATAAGTTACGTCTTTTAGCATGATACAGTACCATATATTGTCGAATCTTTACAGTACCGTAAATTTAGCATACCAAAATTTAATTACAGTTACGTAAGCCTGTAAGTTTTCATAACTCTAGTGTTTACCTGTAAATTAAGTTCTCTTGTCGGAAGGTAGATGTCAGTGCAGGAGCTAGTTACAACGCTCAGTTAACAAAATCATCAACCAATCACAAGAGTTCGACACAGCACTGACCCACATTGTGTTCACAGAAGAGGGTATTAGAAATAAACTGTTCAGGCTAAAGGTCCATAAGAGTCCTGGACCTGACATGGTGCATCCTAGAGTGCTAAGGGAGCTGTGCAACGAGCTTGCCCCCTGAAGATTCTGTTTTGTAAATGCCTGGATGAACAAATGGTCCCCAGTGAATGGAAAGTGGCTATGTGAGTCCTATCTTCAAAGGCGATAGGCACCTCCACAACAACTATAGACCGGTGAGCCTGACCAGCATAATATGTAAAGTACTGAGAGTATTATCAGAGATGCAGCGATGGAACATCTACTACGCCTTGTAAAAGATTGCCAACACGGTTTTATGCGGCGCTCTTGCTTGACACAATTGCTCAAGGTATTGGATATTTGGACCCATATTCTAGAACGGGGTGGTAATATCGACAATATTTACCTAGATTTTGCCAAGGCTTTCGACAGTGTACCCCACGAAAGGCTGAAAATCAAACTGAAGGCGGAATTCGGGGAAATGTCCTAGCGTGGATAGAAGACTTTCTACATGACCGCAAGCAATGTGTGGTGATTAATGGCACGAAATCGTCATCTGTACCTGTAACATGGGCATGTGAGGTAGTGTATTGGCCCGCTGTTGTTTGTTTGTTTCATAAATGATATGCCTGACGTTGCTAATTTCCATACAAATGTTTGCCGATGACGCCAAGTTATTTCGGGAAATTAAGAACCAAGCGGACTGTGAAGAGCTGCAGAAGGACCCTCTGGGTCCAGGAATGGTCGAAGGAATGGCTGCTGAGATTCAATGTCACGAAGTGTAAGAGATGCACCTGGGGCGATACTAACGGTAGAGACGTACCATATGTCCCAACGGGATGAAGAAAATGTATAAGTTGAGACTGTGTGGAGAAGGACCTAGGTGTGTATGTTGACAATGAGCTGAAGTTCCGGCCATTGTGAGAAGAAGGTAAATCAGGCAAATAAATTATTGGGTCTTATAAGAAGGTCGTTCAGATATCCAGACGGTCCGTCCTCGTGACGATCTTTCGAGTGCGTTCCCATCTGGAGTACTGTCACCCCATCTGGTCCCGAGATATGCTAGGGACTGTCAGTTGGTTGAAAATGTTCAAAGGAGGGCCACTGTGGTGCCTGCACTTCGGCATCTCAGCCACCCTGAGATTGAGCGCCTGAACTTGCCTAGCTTATACTACAGACGGGCAAGGGGACCTAGTTGAGGTTTATAAGATCCCAGGGGGCACTACCTATGATGTCCTACTTGAGCTGGCGGACGCTCGCCCCACAAGGGGTCACAGCTCAAGATTGAAGAAGCCGCAAGTCCGGAAAACCGTGAGGGCAAACTTAGGAGGAGGGTTGTAAACTCTTGGAACAATCTACCAGAAAGTGTTGTGACGGCACCGAGGTGAGTTTTCAAGAGAAGACTTGACCAACACTGGAGCGGTTCAGGTACATTCAGGAGCCGGTGCATGCCCGTATTTGCCAACAGTGCGTGACAGAGACGTGACCGATCGCCCGGGCGGCTAGCGAGCCGACCTTTGGTGAAGAATATAAAGGAAAAAGAGTCGTGACCGATCGCCCAGCGGCTAACAAGCCGATCAGTGGCGAAGAGGATAAAAGTAAAAAGCGAGCCGATCAGTGGCGAAGAAGATAAAAGTAAAAGAGCGGACCGATCGCCCGTGCGGCTAACAAGCCGATCAGTGGCGAAGAGGATAAAAGTAATCTTCAGACCCTCCTACATTTCATGATAATAGCTTTTAGGAAAAAAAATACAGATTCATCTTATTTGTTCTCAATTGTTATAAAAAATGTATTTTCTCTTTTTTAATGATTGAATAACTGAAATTACCCCTGTCAATTGTAATATCATTGTAATTCCACGATAAACTGATTTTACACTGCATTGCTGTACAGTATAAGAAAAAGGCTTCTTTAATAAATAAATTAAAATTATTCTTAATCATCATCATTATTACAGTCTAGTCTTTTAGCTATATAGTGCATATATTTAGATTTAAACCAACATAATTCAGTGGAATTTAAAATTTAGTAGCGTAGGGAATAACTTATCAGACACTATCGGTGGAGTAAACACAGGATGTGGTAGGGGCTGGGCATAACGTTTGGGACACTGCGCTACTGAATGCCAAGTAAGGAATTGGACCATTATTGGGCTGTACGGTTAGATTATACATTAATATACATTCTATATAAGTGAAAGTTTCCACCGGTATAGAGTAGTACTAAGAGATACGTCTGCTGTTCATTATTTTGGCAGTCATTTGATATTTTGTTTCCCAATTTACTATGAATAAAGCTGCTGGCAGGTTAAAACCATTGAAACCGGAGGACAAAGATCATTGTTCAGAATTTTTACAGACTATTTATAATTTGACATTTAAGGCTTATGCAACGATATAATATGACACTTAAGGCTTATGTAACGATATCATGACACTTAAGGCTTATATAACGATATAATATGACACTTAAGGTTTATTTAACGATATACTACATTATTTAAGTAATATAGCGATATAATATGACATTTAAGGCTTATATAACGATATAATGTGACTCTTAAGGCTTATATAACGATATAATATGATACTTAAGGTTTATTTAACGATGTACTATGACTTTAAGGCTAATATAGCGATGTAATTTGACATTTAAGGCTTATGCAACGATATAATATGACACTTAAGGCTTATATAACGATATAATATGACACTTAAGGCTTATATAACGATATAATATGATACTTAAGGTTTATTTAACGATATACTATGACATTTAAGGCTAATATAGCGATGTAATATGACATTTAAGGCTTACCTAACAATATAATATGACATTTAAGGCTTATATAACGATATAATATGACTTAAGGCTTATATAACGATATAATATGATACTTAAGGTTTATTTAACGATATACTATGACATTTAAGGCTAATATAGCGATGTAATATGACATTTAAGGCTTACCTAACAATATAATATGACATTTAAGGCTTACCTAACAATATAATATGACATTTAAGGCTTATATAACGATATAATATGACATTTAAGGCTTATATAATGATATAATATGGTATTTAAGGCTTCTATAACTATAACAAGGGTGGCCAAAACGCAGCTCAAGAGCCGCATTCGGCTCTTTGACACTTAATGTGTGACTCGCGAAAATATCTTGGCTGAACTCCTTTTTTGCATCATGATCAATACAAAAGGTACAGGTAATTAAAAAAATGTTCGAGCTTTTTATTTATAAAGTGAGAGGCCATTGGATTAAAACATAAGTTAATTATTCAAGGCAAGTATAAGTATTTAGGAATTTAAATCTTAATTTTAATGATAGAAATTAGTCAGGTGTCGTTCATCAGTGCTGAGTCAGGTCAGTAAATTTCAGGTCAGGGATTATGGAAGCCACTCAGGATATGCCGACGATGTCCTCCACCAAGCCCCTGACTACCTCAGCATGCCCTTGATCTGGTCTCCAGAGAGTGTGATTCACTTGGTTTCCTTCTTTCAACTGCGAAAACAAAAGCCATGTGGCACGGTCGTGTTGTACCTCCACCCTTCTCTTATCAGGAACACCCTTGGACTGGGTTAATGAGACAAAATACCTGGGTGTGTATGTAACTCGCACACGTTGTCAGATCCCTGAAGTCCGCTATCTTTTTGACATATACTTTCGGCGTCTCGCTCCCCTCTCTACCATGTGCAGGGGTTCCCTTGGTGCCACCATCCCTGTACTTCTCACCATGTACAAGTCCTTTGTCCGTTCCTGTGTCGACTACGCCGCCCCTGCCCTCGTCAACATTAGTCGGACTGCTGTCAACCGTCTCGAAGTTATCCAGAGGAAAGCTGCTCGTATCATCCTTGGGGCTCCTCAGTGGACACGCTCTACTTCTCTATATACCGAACTTGGTCTTTCCCCCTTACAGGATCGTGTCCAGGAGTTTTACCTAAAAACTGCCGTTTCCATTCTACGGGATCCTCGGGGCAACCATGTCCAAACCAACTTGACTCCTGCTGTCCGAGACCGACCTCCATCTAGAAGACAGTGGCGAGGGTCACTCATCCGAGCCCTTCAGGAACACGACCTCCTGCCTGATATTGTTGTCACCCCTGCTGTTGGTTCGTCTCCTTCTCCCTGGCTGGATTTTCAACCTAAAGTGATTGCCCTCGGTGGACCGCTCCCGAAATCCCAGGTGAACCCTGTTATTCTCTGCAAATACCACATCTCCAGGATCGCTCACTGGTCCCCAGGTAGGGTCGTCCTCTACACTGATGGTTCTGTTGACCCCGCTACAGGTAGGGCCGGGGCTGGTGTCTACATCTCCCGTCCTGATGCCCCTGAGCCTATCAAACTGTCTCTCAGAGTTTCTGACGGGGCATCCTCCACTCAGGCTGAACTAATAGCCCTCCTTGCTGCCCTTCTTGCTGAGGAAGAAGCAGATGGTTTCTGCCCCTTGCTTGTCTGCTGCGATTCCAGGTCTGCTCTCGACGGGATCGCATTTGGATCAGGGGAAAATAAGGACCTCATCCTCCGAATACGAGGGTTAACATCCACACTTCAGGATGCAGGCCGTCCCGTGACATTCCTATCGATACCCAGTCATGTCGGTATCTTGGGGAATGAGGCAGCAGATGGCCTTGCCAAGACTGGCTGCAACAAGGCCACACCTGACTACGTTGTTCCTCGAACACTCTTACAGATTAGGACCCAAATTCGCCGCAAACAGAGAGAAGTTTGGGAAGCAGCCATCCCCCTGGACTCCCCGCCCACCTGGTACGATGTCCTCCGTAAACTTCCTGACCTCTCGTACGTCTACGGGAAAGGGTCGCGGAAAGGGGACGTGATTGCTGCCCGTATCATCATTGGGTATGACTTTGCTTGGGAGATTGGTATCCCCGCATCCCCTGAGCAACGCTCTTGTGCATTATGCAGAAGACCCGACAGCAGCACCCTTTCCACTACCTCCTAAGATGTCCCCACACACAACGCTTCCGTGACGCCTGCTGGACCACCACTCCACGACCCCCTGACGGAGACACGATGATCCTCCCCATACTGGCCAGATATTTTGTAAATAATATTGATTATGTGTTAAAGGAATATCCTTCCTTCCTTAGGCTTTAGTAAGCCCCTTTATAATATTTATACTGTATATACTTGTCACACTTGCCAGATGCTTCTGGTGTCATTGTACAGGGGTACCTAGTGACAGCATTAGGATCCCGCTTCCTCTATCAAGGAATAAACAATTGAAATTGAATTGATTATGGAAGAAAGTCGGAGGGAGGGGCAGGTCTCCTTTTTTTCCAGTGTTGTTGCCTTGTCTTATAAAGGTTTAGACTTAGAACTATAGTGTTTTTTTTTTTAGCTGACGGTACAAACCTTGCAACTCTTGTAACTCATTGGCTCATACATAATATTCGATTCATATTTATATATCATAAATAAATCCTTATAAAACTATTAAGGATACCCAGTTATGGTTTACTTTAAGGCTGAATTTAATGTATGTAAAGATACGGTATAACTACAGAACCGGTACCTGAAAACATTTTCAAGATATGAATAGAAAAAAGTTTGATATTAAGAATATTTACTGTTGAAGTCACAAGTAAATTCATGCTTTCGAAGAACACATTTTCCGCTACAGATACTACTCTTCACAAATTATTATGTATATCAAGACAAATGACACCAAACATATAAATCAAAGGATAATAATGACCATTTTATATAGAGTAGAATCTAGTGTAAACACCACATATTCAAGTAAAGGTGTCCTTTAAGACAAACATTACGATTAGCTACAGTAGTGTGCTTGGCAGAAGAGCCGCTCAGCTGAGTGGCAATTGAAATACAGGTACCTGTACAGGTACAGGTAGTTTTATTCAGGCTGTTCACTTTATATGTATCAAATGGTGGGGATAAAAATTCTTGTCAGAAGTCTCATCGAGAATATTCTTTATTTCAACAAACTTTTTCCACTCATATCTTGAAAGTTAATGTTATCAAGCAGTTTATCTTTACATATATTAAATTCAGCATTAAAGTAAGCCAGAACTGGGTATCCTTAACAATTATATATGGATCTACGTATTTGTGATATATCAATATTAATCCAACATTATATATGAGTCAATGAGCTGCAAGGAGGGGGGTGGGGACTTCTTAGTCTATTACTGTCAGCTAAAAAAGAAACGACTATAGCAGACAGTACTAAATATCTTTTGCTAATCAATCCTGGTTTGCATGAACCTAATCTGACTTGACTGAAGCAATACTGTACCTTAATTTCTTTACGTTGGACTGTTATGTCGCATGTAAAAAAATCTTAATTATTCCCTGACATTTTGAAAATACTGTACTGTAATGAAGAAGGTTTCCATTATTGTATATGGAAGAATGACATTTTGACTAAATGAGATTTGAGTTAACCATTACTGTAGTTTTAAACACAATTGCTTCAATGATTTAAAACTTATAAACACTTGAAAGAACTTCATATACTGTAGTTATGCTTATGTTTTGTTTTAGACAAATGATAAATTTCTCCCCAAATCTTTTTGTTTAAAGAACTTCAAGGTTTGTTTCGAAGATAATTTCTTAAGTTCATAATCAACTTTATGCTGCGGGATGTTTAAATTATATTTTATTCACAGATTAAACATGAAGGCAATTACTAGGATATTCCGACGGAAGGATGAGGTGACCCCAGTAACAGAAGATATGAATATTTCTACTCCAACGGTTGTCACTCACACTTTGCATGTCACCTATGACCCTAACACTCAGTCCTATGAGGGCATTCCTGATGCCTGGAAAGGATATATTGAAGCTGCTATTAGGTATGTTTAAGCAAATACTTTCATACTGTTTCTGTTAACCATTCATTTTCCTTTTCTCCTGAGTGCACAGTAATTTTTTTTAAATATAATTTCACCACTTATCAGCTTACTTGCCGTTTGAGCGGCTGGTGTATACAATGTTCGTAGCTGCAAAAGGAAAACTTGTGATGGTTGGTAGGGTCATACTGGATAACACCCTTTTCATGTGTGTTTGGGCTTACCAAGACTCGAGAGATAAGTGTGTTAGCGCTATAAGTTTGACATTTCTTACTCATTATTGTTTCTTTACGCAAGCGAATGTATTGCTACTTGTTAATACCTAGAGTAAAATTGTGTAACGATAGTACTGTATTAGACACATGTTTTCCCAAAGATAATATAAAACACATGTGTTGCACAGGTAGTCCTCAGTTTATGAAACTTTTGTTTATTAAAATTCAAAGTTGTGAAGAAAAAAACTCCACGCTATGATTTATAAACGAAATTCATAATGTTACAAAGTTTTCTTTTGCTGTTTTTGTAATTTTTCCTTAAGTACAGTACAGTACTGTACTATACTATACTGTAATATTGAAAATATGCATTTTTTAATTACTGTATACTGTACTGTACCAGTACACTTATTTATTTCACTGGCTTATTTCATTCTTCTCTAACATTCACAATGTATTCCAAGAAAAAGGTATACAGTACAATCTTAAGACAATAAAATCCCATTTAAATATACAGTACATAACAAAATTGTCTTAAATTTAAATAAAAATTTAAATTGTAACATTGAGAGACCCATGTTGTTAAATATGAAAGTCTAAACAGAGGTTAATAGTGTGTGTAGTTCTGAATTTCACAGGTACGGTATATTGCTTTTATATACAGTAATACAGTAAATGCTATTGTATTTTGTTTTAAGAATTTACCACATTTCTATATGGTTAAATTTTTGTGCCATATGCCAGATTCAGTGGTCATAACTTACAAATTCTGTACAATGAAAAATTCAGCAATCTGAATATAAGCAATGCAGGGATAACTTCCATATGATACTGTTGTACCTAACTCTTTGACATCAGTTACCACAGAGTTTGTGTTTTGACAGTACACGACGATCACTGCAGGCTCTGTTTTTTATTTGTGCACCATGCATTTAAGATTCATCTTTCTATGCTGTTCCCCCTAAGGCCCTGAGAGCTTCCATGTCTCTCCAGTACCTTACGTGGCCACAGTATGTGTTTATTTGGAATATTTGATTATGTTCATGATTCTGTATCAACAACAGTCAACCATATTTCTTGGCTGAAAACATACTAATTGAGGTAAGGAATGTAATTATTGTGCCTTGAACATTCATTTTACATGATATGGAAATTAATTTTATAGGTATACAGTATTATTAGTATTATCATAATTGGAAATTGCCTCAGGGCACACATTGATTGAAGTTAATGGATTAAGGCAATGACCGTTATACAATGGGTCATATGCGCTCGATCAGTTTTATGATGTAAAAAAATTAACACCATTTACCACTAGGTGATGGGTAAATATCATTTTTACGATGGTCGCTACCCAAATACTTTTCCTGCATTGTCACTATTGAAAATGTGATGCGCAATAACTTGCAATATTCGGAGATATCATGACACAATATCAGAATGGCGTAACACATGCGACCCATGCGGGAGGTTCTGCCCGTCCCCATTGATTGCCAGGCTAAGCAGTTGAACTTTCACATCATCCAGAGGATGGTTTGAGTGTAGAAGAAGATATTCTTTGTACATAATAATAATATATACTGTACCAGTATATGAGGATTCATAAAAATAGTAATAATAATAATGATATATAAAAGAAAAGAAAAAATACTATGTTGTCATTTGGGAATAATTTCCCAAGACACGCAATGGCTGAGAGATCCCCCAAGCTGCTCCTTGCTTCCCCTCCCCGTCGGCTAACTACCTACCACATAACTAACTGTTTACAGTATTCCCTTTGTGTTTTTGACATTATGATAGTAATTATTATTTTGTATTTAATTTACACATTCTGTATGATTGATTGTGTGTGCATGTAACTGAGGAAAAGAAAATGAAGAAAATCACATACAAGTATATCTAACTGAAATTATGAATTGAACAATAACAAAGCTCACAGCTCAGCATCACCCGCTCCGAGTGCTACTGGGTGGCGAGTCGGCTACGCAATTATCTCCCATCTCCCCTGATATTATTTGTTATTTATTTTTACGCTCGACTGCACCTTCATTGATTTGACAAAAAAGGGACTCTGGGTCATCCGAATTACCGAAAATCCAGTGTTTAAGATATGGTGAGTGCTGGCAACATTGTTAGGGAGAGCAGAAATGATCAGCTGTTACCGCTCTGTAAACAAGAAACCGGGATTATACTATAGCACAATAGCTCATCTCGGATTGAGTGTGGGATAATTTGGGGAAAGGTAATTATTTGTTGATAATGTTTTATTAACCTGGCACCAAATAAACAGTAAGTGGGTGGTGGTGAGTTGTCCTCGCTCCCTCCTTCCCTCTTCTGACACCCCACACCAGTTACGCAACCAAATGTAGTTGTGTATGTTACTATAATTCATATTTTATTCCTATAATTCATTCATCTTAATCTATTTCATAATACTGTACACATATCCTCCTATAATTACTGACTTTTTGGATCTGCATGGTTATTTCATATTCATTCTGAATTAAAATTGTTTAATTCATTTAAAAAAATATGAATTAAGCCAAAATCCCTATTATAATGAGATCAGAATTAATGAGGGTACAGTGTACATGTAACAGAGTAAAAAAGAATTGAAAAATAATTATGTACAGTATATCAACCTGAAAATACGAGTTGAAAAATAACAACACAACACACAGTTGGCGGGAGGCTGAGATACTGTACTACTGACACTGCACCCCCTCCTGCTCACCCCTTCCTCTCCCACAATTCATGAGCTAAGAAATTTTTACTCCATTCATGCTTTTTCCCTTATAATAATTATTTATTTATTATTTTTTGCACATTCTGTATGAACAATTGTGTGTGCATTTAACAGAGTAAAAGAAAATGAATAAAAATACGTATATCTACTCAAAATTACGATTTGAAAACTAACTATAACAGCTTCACCTAGTAGGAGGAGAGGTAAGGTGAAGTAGCTATGGTGACATCTAACTTGGCGATCTGCCAATTCTCACACACACACACACACACACACACACACACACACACACACACATACACATGTGTACGCTCATTTAAGGTACTGTAAATTAGTTTGCATAAATTTATTGATTTTATGTCTGTTTATAAATTATTTTAGTTTTTTAGACTTATTTAATCATTATAGCAGCAGGATATAAAATTTGTTAAGGTTCTTCAGGGTCTCAGGAACAAAATCTATTTTACCCCATAACTTATTCATATCAAATACTATTGATCACTAGCGATGGCTTTTTGAGGTCCCTAACCCCATCGTATAAAGGTCATTGCCTGTACTGTAAAGTATTACTTGTTGACACAATTTTAACTTGAGAAGTTAAGATAGTACATGTACTGTAATATTATGACATGTTTTACTGAAGACAGTTTTAGGATTCCTACAATTTACCCAAAAAGCTCTTGATTGTTAATTTATTGTTATTCTTATTTTAGTAAAGATGAAATTGCTAGTAATCCACAAGCTGCTATTGCTGCTGCAAAATTCTGGAAGTACTCAATACGACGGAAAGAAACAGATGTAAAGCTCATCCCAACGCCTCAAGTTATCCAGGAAGAAACTGAAGCTATTGAACATATTTTTGAAACTGGTACTGTATACATATTTTATAATTTGTTTATTTTTTGGTTTATCTTATTGCTGCCAAGTTGTTTGTATTAGTTCAGTAATTGAGAATAACCTAGCATTTTAATACTGTTTTAGTTAATTTAACTATACGTACTCTAATTTATTTGTAAAATGGTTTTGTTACTATTTTACTTACTTAAACTACAATACTTTTTTGTGGAAAGGGGGGGGGGAGGGGGCTATCATTGTGGGTTGTGGGCTGGGAGGATGCAGTGCTTGCTTCTTGACTTGGATGTCACTGGTTCAATCTCAGGGCACCTCCAGTCCATCCAACTGTGATTAGGAGGTACCTAATACAGTATACAGTTGAGGAAGTGAAGGCAATTCAGTGCAGTGCTTGCCACGATGCCACCTCATGTAACTGAAGTGCAGTATACCTGCACAGTCTGCTGTATATGCATGTTCCTTAATGGGAAGTCATGAATTTAGAACCCGCTTTCAACATTCAGTATACTGTACTGTAATTCTTGACCAATTTTATTTCTTTGTTGACCAAAGCATTTACCGTACATACATCATTCGCCATATTTTCAGGAGTACAGTACTGTGCAAGATCATTTTTAATAAATATGTTGCTGAAGCATGTACAGTACAATGATATCCTTATTACAGTAGCTGGAACAATTGGTGCCGAGCTTTTCCAGGGATGAAAGTTTTCCGGATAACGAGATGACTCTCCAAACCCGGAAAAAATCCTGCATCCCAGAATTTCTCTGGGTGCAGGAATATCCCGGTTATCGCAAGGGATGGGCTAAAAGTCATTGTGATTAATGAAACTGCAAATATCAGGGCAATTTTCCTCAAGAATTAATGTAAATGGGGAGGAGGAGATGCATTCCCAGATGACAACTTTAATCACATATTTTTTGACATACAATATACTCTTCATTATCCAATGCTATTAAGGACCAGTTGGCAGTTGACAATACTGTATACTGTAGTTTCACTACACATGGGCAATTGGAATGGCTGAGATCACTGCCCTTCTCTCCTCACAATCAGAGCGACTCAAGCCAGCTGTCATAAGAAGTGTTAATTATCTTTATGTTTTTGACCTCATGATAATCATTTCTTTAATTTTTTTGGCACATTCTGTATGAAGATTATGTGCATGTAATCGAGTAAAAAAATAAATAAAGAAAATTACGTTTATTTACCCATCAATACAATTTGAAAAATAACAATAACCACCGCCGCTGCCACCACCAAATTAATTGCTATCTTGCAAGGATTCCAGCAATGCAAGTTATATTCTGCCTTGTCAAGTCTGTGATATTTTAAAAGAGAAAAATTTTAAGCTTAAAACCACCTTTGTCATATAAAAATCCTTATCACTCACAGCCTCCTCTGCTGGCTGGGAGGAAGGTGGAAAGGGAGATGGGGTGTTGACAGCCAGGAGGGGAGATTAATGTGTAGTTGTCAGTGGAGGAGTCAGGGACTCGGGAATAAACTATACAAGACAGGGAGTTTAAGTTTTTGCTTATAAAATGTTACTGACTTAACTTAGCAGAATATAACTTGCATTGCTGGAATTCTTGAAAGATAGCGATTAATTTGGTTATAAACATCCTATAGTTTGCACTAAACATTAGGACTTAACTTAGTACATACAAGTACAGTTTGTGATAATGTATGAGGTTGCTCAGCAGTTGTGGTTGCATTTGTTGAAGCTTCGTGGTTGGTCTTCCCACCCACGCACCAACCATGTGAGGATGCGGCTAAACATGATGCAGTCTTTCATAACACCAGAAATCCTTGTCCCCATGCCCTAAGCAGAAAGGTTTGGAGCAATTTTCTCGCCATTTTCTCAGATTTTTCAGTAATTGCGCATTATTTCATAATCGACATTTGCTCCCAGACCCAGAAATAAAAATTGACAGATTTTCCTGATTTTTATTTAATTTGTAGAAAATGCTCCTGATTTTCAACCTTGGAATTTGTTCCCAAACTAGAAATTTAGGGAATATTCAAAACAAATTATGAGCTAAATTTCAATTCCGGCTATTGGAGAGTTCCGGTTTCGGGGATTCTGGCTAACTAGTAAAAATTTCTGGAAACTTTTATTCACAACCATCTGTTCTAAGTGTTAGAAAGTTGAGTTTAGTACGATAATGATCCTGAATAAATTCTCTACAAGATTGTTCCATTAATAGATCCTGAAACAAAATATTTCAACACAATATAATGATGAGGACTTAATTTTTTTTTTTAAATACGTACATAAGAAATGTTGTTTCCGGAGTCTAGAAAATCAGTTATAATCGATTTATAAAGACAATTTTTTACCCAAATAACCCTGAATAGTTAATTTAAAAGTTTGGTGAAGTAAATATGTTTTAAAAATAAAAAAATATATAAGATATGGGCATGCGAGGCGGGTTACCAACGGGTTCCGTTCCTAAGTCGTATTTGTACTTAAAGTCGGAACATGCAATGTGCATACCGTACTTACAAAACAATGTTTAAAATCCCACTATATCATAGCCTAATTCCTTATATACATCTAAAATCACCTAATTTAAGACAAAAGAAGAAATAGAATGACAAAATACAGAAAAGGAAAGTAGAAAGTAAGGCATCAGGTAAATAAAATACTGTAAATTTCAAGTTTAACCTCGTTCATATCGGCGGGGCATTCATAAGTCGGATGTTCGCAAGTCAGGGACCCCCTGTACTGTATGGATTGTATTGTACTTAGCAGCAGATGATGTCATCTTGAGCCTACAGTAGGCATACTGTCCACTCTGCTGAATGTAATACTGTACATAACTAATAATTTGTTATGGCTTGACACTTACTATGGAGGTGGGGTGGGGGATTAGTTCATCTCATATTACTGATTTGAAGATGCATTGTCAGGTCATCCATTGTTGTGGTGGGTGATTAGTGGGTCTTATGACCTGAAGATGTCTTGAATAATTAACTACCGGTAAGATAAGGTGCTCCAGGGTTCCCCACTTACTGAATGTACAGTACAGTATACGTATGTAACTAATCAATTTTTAAGTCTTAACACCGCTTTAACACTGTACAGTATTCTTGGCCGATTGTGTGCTGGTACAGTAATATACAGTACTGCACAACACAAATTGTATGCAAAAACAGAAGCTAATGAGGGAACAACCTTCTATAATAGCAGTAATGGCAGCAGCAATCCAAGCACCCATGCATGTGGGGACACATTGGAGCTTGATGCAATCTCTCAGAACTCCTGGAAAATTTATTCCAAGGCCCAGAATGGAGAGGTTTGGAGAGATTCTCTTCTAGGAACCTCTCAAAATTTTTCTGGAAAATGTGCTTGATATTCATCCTCGGAACTCGTTGGCAGCCTTGTAATAGAGATAATTTACCTGGAATTTTTCAGGGCTAATTCAATTCTGGCTATTGGAGAGTTCCGGGGATTGGGGATTCTGGTTAACGGAAAAATTACTGACAGGTTCACTACTATATACTACTGTACATGTGAACTGTAATTTCATTGTATTTTTAACAAACTGTACAATCAAGACTTTTCCCTGTCAGACATAGTTTTATGACTATTCTTCAATTATGTACTTTACTTTGTTTGTTTCATTATTTGAAGTTTAGTGATTTTCGGTACTGTACTTGGTACATTAATGATTTTAATAACAAGTATTATAATAGTTTTTTAACAAATTCTTTTTTCTAGGTAAAGATTCGTGTGAAATTGTTGAGGACTTTACATCAGTCAAGAAGGTGAGGACTGATTGGAAGTATTTTGTGTAACACTTTAGGAATTAATGAGAAATGAAGAGAATAGAAAAATCAATGTTTATTTTTTACGAAGTACACCAAGTCCAACATGGAATCGGCAGGTGCCCAAATCATGGCGATGTTAAAGATCTGATATTAAAGAGTGAAGAATTGGGTCTACTGATAGAATCAGATTTATGGCTAAATCTGAGACGATAGACTGAGAAAGAGAATTCATGTGGCTGTTAATGTGCTGGGGGGGGGGGGTCCAGAAAGCTTAAGGCTAAGCCTCAACCCAATACTGTGTGTATTTTGAGAGTGTAAAAGAGAGGTGATGCAATTTTGATCCAACACTTTGGGGTATGTTTGGGTATAGCAAAGACTGCATAAGTAAGTGAGCATTCAAGGAAATGGCACTGGCACCATTATATTGGAATGTATATTATTATTGTTTTCACATTACTTATGAAATTACTGTAATATTAGTCAGATTAACCAAAAATTTGAGATAACTTTTGCTAGATGTTACAGTACTTGTTCACATATACTATAGGCCATATTGGTAAAATTATAGCAAAACATATGCGATAACTTATGCCAGATGATACTTTTTTCACAGGCAAAGGTCCAAATTTTCTGAAAAATGGGCATGCCAAAGATGCCATGTATCAATTAGCTACTGTATATAATTAAGCATAACAACTTACAATATAAAGACATTAATATTTTATTTTATACTTTTAGTGTGAGGAACACATACAGTATACAGTAATATCCCCATTAGCCGGAATCCCTCTTCACCGGAACTTTCTGATAGCCAGAGAGGGCATGTCACTCATGATGTACACTTGGTAAAAAAAAGTAAATTTATAATTCTTGTGTGAAACAAAATGACACCACAAATGAAGGTTTTGATAAAGGCTCATAAGGCATAATGTTATTCACCAATCATAATGCAACAAACTAATTTTATATTTTGAATGAAATAACTAAATTAGGCCAACCATAATAGGTAGGCAATTTCTCACAATCATGCCTACCAACCCCAGTGAGACCACAGGATTGTTCGGTTCCAAATTCATCGGACCCTTTCTGAATGATACTTTTTATACCAGGTGTACATGTACTGGAACCTGCAAATTTAACAAAGGGAACCACTGTAAATACAGCTACCTCCACAGAATTGTTACAGTTCATGTTTGTATGTGTTGTATATTTTAATATCATAAAAATTGTTTGACGAAATGCATAATGGCCCCAGAAGTGGTTGTACCACATTATGTCTGGTAGCATTGGATTCTTTGCCCCTGAATATGTATGTTTAGCCCTTAACATGAGGACCCTGGATGGTTTAGAAACTGAAATATTGAGAAAAATGCCTTTGCAGGTGGTAATTTTTGAAAATCCAAGATGGCTGCCATACATATTTCTGGGAAAATGGAAACATTGGTTTTTTGATTGGTTAAGCTCTGTAATTTCTAAAAATGTATAGGTTTGAAAACATCTAAAATAAACTGAACGACAGCCAAAATCTGAACACGTGAACCACACTACAGTACAGTATATGCTTTACTACCATGTGTGGTTAGGGCACACTGACTTGGCAATTTTGATAATGCTCAGCTTCACAGGGTTGATAAACTGGATCATTACTTGCAGTAGGCCTTTCAATCACACATAAAATTTCCAGCAAAGGGAGAAATTTCCTGATAATATCCTTTCTGAGACTTGGTCCCAAGGGTCCCAGATTTGAGGTTCTGCACTGAATAATATATTTTTGTTCAACCCAGAATGCGACGCCTAGCTTTATACGTAGGTATGTTAGTGCCTAGCAATAACTCGCCAGGCCAACATACAGGCAATTAAAACATCTAATAATTACTTAATAAGTAATATTAGGAGGACAAGTCGCTACCTGGCATTTAATTGCAATTTTCACCCCCCCCCCCTTCACCCCCCAAACCCATCATACGCACTGCCACCGTCATCTTCTTGCCTGGCGAATCAGCTGTAAATTATATAAGGTTGCAGATAAAATATACTGTACTAACTTTAATTCAACACTTCATCATGACATTCCTCTTACACAAATTAAATGGTTTACCTCTGAGATAAGCGCATGTTCATTGTAAGATGTGAAATATTTTGGATGCCTTCAGCAGATAACTTGATAGTACACTGATATGAAGTATTGGTATTAAGATAGGAACAATTGTGAATGGTTATAGCAGATATGACAGCACAAGAGTGAGTTTGGAATGGTATGAGAGAAAAAAGTAAGTGAAACAATATAGCATCTTGGAAATTTGGTTTCCTGTGTTGGTACTCAAACGGCATCACTATTAAATACAGTGGGGTATGCTATAACGAACGTAATTGGTTCCAGAACCTCGTTCGTTATAGCATTCGTTCGTTATAGGATTAATCCGTTCCAGGCCCCCAAATACAACCACCTAACACTGAAAAAATTCTGTGGAAAATGTAAAAAATACGGTACTTTATCTTACCTTAGTGTTATTCAGCATGCAGGTACCCCTAAACACTGGCACATCACTATCACTTCCACTGGGAGTCTTGGCTTTAAGGTCCTCAAACAATTGTCTGGCCTTCTCACAAATTATAGCTTCACTAATGTTACCACCTGCCATTTCTTTCTCCTTTATCCACACTAAGATTAAATTTTCCATCTCTTCAATCACATTACACTTTGCTTTGCTAAGTCTAAAGATTCCCTTTGCCACTTGCACAGTTTTAACTCCCCTTTATTCTTCAAAATCGTACATATAGTCGATTTAGCCATCCCATATTCATCACTAAGTTTCGCAATGCTTCTTCCATTCTCACGTTTCTTTATAATTTCTTTCTTAGTTTCAAGGGTTATTAGCTTTCTCACTCGCTTTGGACGACTCATTGTTACAATTGTATACTTGTATAACAAAATAGTTATACAAATAATGCGAATTTCCACATCAAAAGACGAAATTTCAACAATAACAGTGGTGCACTGGCTACACAATGAGACAAAGATGGCGCCTGACGCTCTTGTTGTGGGTCGCGGTACAACAATATTCATGCGCCAGGCGAAATAGTCCCGTATTCATCCGCGTTCGTTGTAGGAGTTGCGTTCGTTATAGCATTCTCAATTTTATAGGTAAAACCGTTCGTTATAGGAATATTCGTAGTAGGATCCGTTCGTTATAGCATACCCCACTGTACTAGGAAATACAAGTTGACAAATTTACATTGAATTATTGAATGCATTTTCAGTACAGGTATTGTAATCATATTTTTTTTTTACTCTAGCCAGAAGAGGATCAGATTAATAGAAAAGAAGAGCAGTCTAACGACCAGGCCTCCAATATTACCTTAAAATCAGAGGATCAAGTAGACAGAGCAGAAGATAAGGTTGCCCCAAGCCCTGTGCAGGTCATTGTCATCCTCGTCAGTTGTTTTGATGAACTAAATAAATCCAATTTTATAAATAAGCTTCTCTTGATAATATATTTATGTTATACAAGTAATACACTTTGAATTATGACTGTAAAGAAATTATAACAATTCATAAGTATTGAGCAGCTATGATGGTTTATATTGTGTACAGTAGTATGCACTTCAAAACAAGATAGCAAGTGTTAGCTTGTACCTGTTTGAGAGTTTGTTGTTGTCTTAAAAGACTATATTTTAGCAGAAAACAGGTCACCCAGGAATTCAATGGCATGTCTGATTTTAGAAGTCTTGCATATAATGCCCATTTCCCATTCTGTAAAAGTGGGTTAACTAAAGGAAGGCCATCCTTCCTTAAAACTTGCATCAAATTTGCTTGGTAGCAACTGGAACATCCATGCCATCAGGTGATCATGGCTAACCCACGCAAGTGTGGAAAATACCTGTAAAATGGTGATGCTGATGACAGGAATATCTAAATGTCATAAATTTAATTCACTCCATTTATGGCATCTTGGTGAATGACTAATAGACATTATGATTGTTCTCTTCTAAAGGTACGGAAGAAAAGTCCTAAAATGAGTGATGAGGAGGTAATGAAGCAATTTAAGCTGCTTTGTTCTCCCAGGAACCCCGAAACAGTGTACAAACGTGATAAGGAACTGGGAGCCGGGTATGTATGTGAACTTCAGCTAATTAATTTATTATTGACACTAAAAAAAAAATTATATATATATATATATATATATATATATATATATATATATATATATATATATATATATATATATATATATATATATATATATATATATATATATATATATATATATATATATATATATATATATATATATATATATATATATATATATATATATATATATATATATATTTATTTTTTTTTTTTTAAGTTCATTATATTTCAGAGAAAATGTAGTGAGTTTTTCCTTAGCCTTGCGTATGTCCGAAACTGTTTGCTTTTTAACACCATACTCGTCACAAACTCTAGCCACCGAAGCACCAGCCTCTAACTTCCTTATAAGTTCCAGTTTCTGGTTCACAGAAAGGGTCACATACTTCCTCTTGCTGAAAGATGCCTAATCACTGAAATATGAACGAAAATTGCAGGGCAACACAACACTGATACTCAAATATGGCGCTAAGTCAACAATGACTGGCGGTCTGGTGTGTGCGCCATCTTTCGGACAATCCCAGAACCAGAAATTTGACACGGACACGTGCAGTGGTCCCTCGGTTAACGAGCGCCTCGGTTAATGAGATTTCGGTTAACGAGTTACCTTCCATAAGATTCTTAACTTCGGTTAACGAGCAATCCCTCGATTAACAAGTTTCTTACGAGCCGACCTCAACATGTTTTTGCTTGCATTTGGTGGTCCACCAGCTGTAGTATTAGTCTGCCAATACAGTAATCGGTTCTAGGGCTTATATTCCTTACCATTTTAGTAAATATCAAGAAGTTTATACTATTCAATAATTTTAAAAGTTTAATATTAAATTTTTTAGTCATTTTAACAATTATTGAACATAATTGAAGGTAAGGAAACTAGTTTTATGCGCGCCATCCAGCCTGTCACCACACCAAACAGGCGTCAGTCTCTCTGTTTTTTCAGTGGAGGTAACATCTTACTTGCGACTCTCTTCAACTAAACGCTTTTTTTCTATGTTTGCAAGCAAATTATTGGTCATTTTGAAATTTATATTGCATATTGACAATATATAATGCAGTGCAGTGTTGATTTAAAGAAAATAATCTTGAATTACACCAAGAGAACTAAAATTTTATGGGTGAAATGGCGCCATGGGGTGACTTCTCTTCCACCCCAATGCCTTCTCTTCTCCCTTCTCCTCCACCCCCATTCTAATTCCCATCATCATCATCATCATCATCATCATCATCCAGGAGCCTTCTACATACACACCTCAAAGTAAGTGTACTTTTCTACCTTTTTTGTTGAATTTAGGCAATTTTCGGTGAGCTGGAACCAATTACCCAAAAACCCATTGAAACAATGTTTTCGGTTAACGAGCAACCTTCTAGAACGAATTGTGCTCGTTAACCGAGGGACCACTGTAACATTAGCTGTGATGGTAGATGTATGATAGAAATTAAAACAAGAATAGGGCAAGCAAAAACAGCACTTACAAATCTAAAAGACATAATGAAAAGAAACTTTAACTACACATTGAGAAAGAGGCTGCTGAAAGGCTTTATATGGCAAGGACAGATGTATGGGTCAGAAGCATGGACCCTTTCAGTAGACCCCAGAAAGAGGTTGGAGGCCTTTGAAATGTGGTGTTATAGGCAAATGCTAAGAATAACCTACACTGACAGAAAACAAATGAAGAAGTAATAAGATTGGCTAAAATATCATGAGAAATACAGTACAGGTTTGACTTCGCTAATCTGGGAAGCTTGGGACCAGACCGGTTCCGGATTAAAAAAAATTCCGAACCATCGAAGCCAAGGTTAAAAAAGGCAAAATGATGCATAAAATGTATTATTACTGTCTAATTTCTTCAGCATAGACATCTTTTCTAAAATAGTTAATGTCACTTACTTATGTTTTGCCACATTACAACCACTTCCATTGCTTGTTGGTCTCAGGAGCCATATTTAAGGGTAAATTATAAGTATTTAAAGGTAAAATAGTATCAACAGCCACTAGAAGTGAGCCACGACACAATCCCGAATCATCGAAGCTGCTGGACTATCAAGTCCCGGATTAACAGGTTCCAACCTGTACTTGAAATGTAAAGAAAAGAAAAATGAGATACTTTGGTCATATAATTAGGGATGAAGGATAATTACAGAAATATTAATGGGTAAAGCTGAGGGTATGTGAGCCAGGACAAGGCAGAGACTGGGATGGATGGATGAAAGAAATTAAAATGTGGGTCTCCAGAGAGATACCAAACCTTGGAGGATTGGTAAAAACAGCTTGAGAACATTTAGAGTGGAAGACTGTGGTCGCCAACCCTCAGATATGAGGACGGTACTCTGATTGATTGAGACTCTTATTGTGGTTATCAAATTGTTTTGCCTAATGTATTATTTAATGGGAAAGAACAGTTTATTCTAAGCTACTAGGCATTTGTATAATTTTAATATTGTATGCCTGTTCAGTATGAAGAAGTGTAAAACATTGTTATGAAATGCTCCATAACTGATATTCCTGTACAAACTACAATAGGTCATTCCAGCTCCATTAGCAGTATCATTTAGGAGTGTGAGTGTGGATGGATCCTGTCACGGTTTAGTGAGGACAGTGAGGCGTCGGGCAATGGTGCCCGGTAGATGCCATTGTGTGTATTCATTATTATTTATTAGCATACTATATAATATGATACAGTATATGTAAATAATAATAAAATATACATGCAGCTTTCACTGTTTTATGCAATCCTTCTCACTTTGTTCACAGTTTTTGCAGTATTGATAAATTATTAACAGCTATACTGTACCTTGAATTTAAACCTTAAATTTCAAAACTAATATTGAATTCCATTAGAAAAATTGCATATGGCAAAACACCTGTCAGTGTCAGACCCTTACACCAAAAATAATCGAGGCTAATAAATTTTCCTTAACATTATCAGGGCAAGTAAAAAAATGGTATGAGAGGCAAATCCTCAACACACTCTTCCCAGTCTGACACATACACACAAACAAATACACACACACACATACAAACACACATGCAAACACATATGCACACACACACTTACAAACATACACACACATATATATACACACATACACAAACCCCCCCGCCATACACACACATATGTACAAAAGAGCGAGCTCAGCAGCCTCTTAAGCCGGACAGGAAAGGTCACCTATATGACGCCGCTGCATGTTTGGCTCGCGTCCGGCTGTAATTGACTCATGATCCTGTGATGTGTGCCATGAGGTCTGGTAACATTTCATCACAGATATATCCATGATCGCCGCCAGCCGACACCTATTGTTTATCATAGATACAGTATATCCATGATTGATGCCCATCGAGTTAATTTACTGGTAAATCTTTTTCTTGCGAGTCCCCTGGCAAGAAAAATTGGTACAGTGTATTTTATCTTATGCATGTATGTGTACTAGTGTTTAATAAGTGGTATTTTTCAAGCACATTGGAAAGCAAATTGCTATTATGGTTATGGCTTGTAGTATTTGCTTCCTGTAAACAACATGACTTGGAGTGTTAGGCAAGCTATTTTTTTGTTCTCTGAATTATTCTCACTACATCATTATTAAGAGCCTTTACAATTATTGCCTTTCAAATAACAATCCTTTAGCCCTTTCACTGCGGAACACTAATTTGACTTTTATTTGGTTCATATCAGTTAATTTTATTCAGCACAAAGAGACAGGAGATTAAGTGATTGTAATAACTACATCTAGAAATAGAGCAATTTATGCTAATGCCCTTTCTTTCTAGGGCTTCTGGAACAGTGTTTATTGCTCAGGAGAAAGCTAGTGGTCGTAAGGTTGCAGTTAAAGACATTGATCTTGACAAACAACCCAAAAAGGAACTGATTTTGACTGAGATAAGGGTAATGAAAGATCTCCAGCATGAGAACCTGGTCAACTTCCTCGACGTGTTTTTGCTGAACAACCATTTATGGGTAAGGTAATATTCATGAGAATGATGGGAGATGAATAAAAGCTTTACTGGCTACATTGAAAATTCTGATTTTAGGATATACTGTACTGCAGTAATTTTGTGTGCGTGTCTGAGTAAAATCAACTGATTTAACAGTTTTTAATGTTATTTCATGCTGCTCCGGTAAGCATGCCCAAATGTATGTAAAATCAACATCTCTAGTATTTTTTGATGGAATCTGGTAGTGTGTACTGTATGTGTATAGATAGATAGATATAGATAGATATACATAGATACAGTATAAATAGATAGTCTATTTCACCTTTAGGACCCTGGGGATATATTATCTTTAGGTAACTTGTGTTTTTATTTCAATTAGTTTACAGTACGGTATAGTCTTTTATTTAACCTCTAGGTGGTGATGGAGCTGCTTGATGGTGGACCTCTGACTGATGTTGTGACAGAAACTATAATGAAAGAAAGTCAGATTGCTGCTGTGTGTCATCATACTTTGAAGGGTCTAGATTACCTTCATGAAAACGTATGTCTGTAAAAAGAACTTTTTCTGTGAAAATTTGCTAATTATTAAACCTTTAAAGTTGAACTTTAGGGAGTACAGTAACACTCCTCTAATTCGGACTATATGGGGCTCAAGCTAGTCCTACTCATCTGAAAATCCGATTTGTATAGAACTCCCCCACACACTCTCTCCTCATCGGTAATTTCGATCACCATTTTGCTGAATATTCACATAAAAAATCAAGTTAACAATACTTATTTACAGTGCAATTACATTGTAGCAGATGAATTTTGATGGAATTTGAGTTGGAGGACAAAGGGGGACCACTTAAACCTACTTTACTGTAGTTTCACTTAAAACTAGCATTTATTTCTTCGTTTAATCACTGTTGGAATCGAGGATGCAAGGTGACAGATTGGGGATTATCACCAATTCTGACTCTGAAGTATAGGGTGAGTGATGGCAGACCCACAGACCCTAATCCGACTAAAGGGGGTTTCCGATTTATGGAAGTCTGACTTAGGGGGTCTTGTTGTACTTAAAAAATGCAAGTTAAAATTTTAATTTTCAATGCAGTATGGGTGAGATTATACACTCTACTTCTGTAACTTTTGAAAGGAGTTATACCTAATGTTAGATTCTATTTTGGATTGTGAAAGGAATCATTTCTCTATTATACAGTAGTTATTTTTACTGTAGCTTATATACCAATGTGCTGCCTCATTAGACAGATGATATGTAATTTCTTTGACGATAACAGGACCCTTTATATGTTATATAACATACTACACAATGTTTAATGTGTTATTATAATATATGTATATTTTTTATAGGGAATAATTCATCGAGATATCAAGTCAGATAATGTTCTCCTTGGTAAAGATGGTTCAGTTAAAGTGACGGACTTTGGCTTCTGTGCTAACATTATAGGTGATGAGAAACGCCAAACCATGGTTGGAACCCCATACTGGATGGCTCCCGAGGTAATGCATAAACACAGTTGGTTAATATCTAAACTATATAGTGGAGACCTACTGTAAGCTAGAATTAAAATCTTATACAAAAGAAACTTCAAAGGGGGTATACTGAATTCAGTTTCTCCTAGAGTCTGTGTTTGTGAGTCTATCTGTCTTTTTTCATATACTGTTGATGGGCTCTGGATGATTACTTGAGCTTTTATTCATCAATTACCATGAAATTTGGGTTTAAAGGTCAAGGTCATCATTTGTATACAGTGGCGTCTCATTTTTACTTTACTTATACCCTCTTTGCCACTGATCGGCTCTTTGGCTGCTTGGGCGGTCGGTCACATCTCTTTTATGCACAGTTGGCCAGTACTGGGCATGCACTGGCTCCTGAATGTATCTGAAATTGCTCCACTTATTTTCCAGGTTGTGACTCGTAAACATTATGGAAAGAAGGTTGATATTTGGTCTCTTGGTATCATGGCCATTGAGATGATTGAAGGTGAACCACCGTACTTGAAAGAGACACCACTTCGTGCCCTCTATCTCATTGCTTCAAATGGCAAACCTGTGGTTTCTTCATGGAATAAATTGACCCCCGAGTTTCAGGTACAGTACAGTATATTGATATATCTTCATTTGAGAAACGAGTCTCTTAAGTTTTAGGCATACAGTATTGGCATTCCATCTTGGGATAAATTTACACCATAGTTTTAGAAGTAAACAACTACAGGTATTATATGAAAAGGCACAATAAAGTCCTTTATAGTAAGTTTCCAGAGTTGTTTGTCCTAATTATTCAATACAATTATATCAGTGAAATTAGGTCTCCGAACGAAATATATAATGTAAAACATAGGAGAAATGCTGTCAGAAAAGGGACTGGCTGACAGATTTAAGGATAGTGTGTTATGTTAGAATAATTGGGAAGAAAGAGTAGTTATGGAACAATTAAAATAAAGTTATTGTTTGATATTATGAGAACTGGGAGTAACTACTTACAGTAGGAAGGTCATGGTGTTATAATAAGACAGTGGCAGTTGTTATTTTGTATGGTCATAATGTCATATACAGGTAACCTTGAGATAGATATCCTGAGATGTGATATTCCGCTTTAACGATGGTTATAAATTGAAATCATCTCTCTAAATTCAATCAAAACAACTTGCTTTAATGATATCCATCAAATATTCATCAATATCCATTGGTCGGGTCGTATATATATATATAGTAAAGCCTCGAATAACGACGGTAATGTGGCTTCCAATGTTGCAGTGTAAGGTGAATCATCGTATTGCGAATCATTAATTACCATTAAAATAAAGCAATAACAATGAGATGTGTTCCCAAGTGTGACCTTTTCATATCTTTTGTGTGGCTTTTTACCCTCTTTTTCCCCAAAAACAATACAATTAATGAAAAACCCACAAGAGGATAAGAGACGGCAGTGTTGTCAGTGTTTACACCCATAATGCCAGTTATCCACCTGAAACTGAAGAAAATAAGACCCTGGTTGTTGTTGTAGTGTACTGGGCCGTCTGTTGGTTGTTTGCTTCATAAATGATATGCCTGATGCTGTACATTCCTCCATACAAATGTTTGCGGATGACGCCAAGTTATTTCTGGAAATTAAGAACCATGCAGACTGTGAAGAGCTGCAGAAGGATCTCTGTGAGCTCCAAGAATGGTCGAAGAAATGGCTGCTAAGATTCAATGTCACGAAGTGTGAGAGGATACACCTGGGTCGTACCAACGGTAAGGAGGCATATCATATGTCCTAACAGGACAAAGAAACTGCTTTAATTGAGACAATGTGAAAAGGATCTAGATGTGTATGTTGACAATGAGCTGAAGTTCTCAGGCCATTGCGAGAAGAAGGTAAATCAGGAAACAAAATTGTTAGGTCTTATAAGAAAATCGTTCAGATATCTAGATGGTCCGTCTCTCGTATCAATCTTCAAGAACGAAGTGCTTCCCCGTCTGGTCCCCAAGATATGTTAGGGACTGTCAGTTGATTGAAAATGTCCAAAGGAGGCCACCAGACTGGTGCCTACACTATGGCACCTCAGCTACCCTGTGAGATTGGAGCTCCTGAACTTGATTAGCTTATACTGTACTACAGACAGACCAGGGGGTCCTAATTGAGATGTATAAGCATCTCAGGGGGCTCTACACAGTCAAGTGCCCTTACTTGGAGCTGGTGGACGCTCGCCCCACATGGGGCCACAGGAAATAACAATTATTACTGTACTCAACACCTACAGTTGTTGGCGAGTCGGAGAAGTCAGCAAGACATCGTACCTCAGCACCCGTGTGGCAGTTATCGTGCATCTGGGAGTGAACTATCAGACGTGCACTACCAACTCACTCCATATTCTTACAAACTTCACATGGTTCCTTATTATAACACTATATACAGTACATTCACCACTCTCTTTTGGGTTAGAAGTGTGTTTGCGAGTGGAACTCGGGGAAACATGGAATGCACAGTGGCACTTTGCAATCATCACACATCCATGTTGTGAGTTTTATTATTTGAAGTCGTTGGATGTAGATGAACACACATTGCAGCAACACCGACCCTTAACTCAGTGTTTCCTTGTGCTACCTGGTATTTTTGGAGATGGTATGATGGCTTTAATATAATGACGGGCCATGTAGTTTCGTGCAACAAGGCGGTCAGGGCCAAGTGCTTGGAATGCAGAACGACCATAAATTCCTAACTTCTCTGTGCCGTATTTCTCAAGAGTTTAGTACACAACATCATGCACAAATTCCCTTAGCTTGATCTTTTTGTCAGTCTTTACTAAGTAATAATTGTAGGAATTGAGTACAGCTACATCAACCAAATGGAAAAACAGTTTCTTGTACCATTTTGCAGATTTACGCATGTCAGGGCTAGAGTACCAATTATCTGTAAACAAGATGTGCCCTTTCCCAAGATAAGGTTCATCATCATTTTTACAATTGCCATTGGAAACACCAGTCTTATTATCATGAGGACTATCAGTTGTAGCTCCAGTGTACACAATAAAATCAAGCACAATTCCCATCTCACAGTCACATAAAACAAGCACTTTGATTCCAAAGTGAAGACTTTGCTCGGAATGTATTGCTTGAATGCAAGATTACTTTTGAACAAGACATGAGACTCATCAAATGCCAAGTTTTGGAATGGTAAAAATAGGTCTTTCATCTTGTTTTTCAGTGCAATAAACACTGGTCTAATTTTGGACAACAGGTCGCTACAGTCCATGGTGGTGTTATGAGCAAAGTGAAGATATTTCAATAGCAGCTTGAACCTGTCACGAGATGTGTACTTGCCAAACACAGGTGTTGTGAGTAGAATGTCTTTGGACCAGGACTCAACCACCGAGTGTTTCTTTGATAGTGGCATCATCATTGCTAATGCAAAAAACACGAACATTTCAGCTAGTGGTGTCTTTCCAGTGCTGTACAGGTGAGCCACAGGAAGATGCTTCTACACCACCACAAAAAAACAAAATACTTATTTGCTTCACTTGCAATATCACTGATCAATTCCTCATCAAAAAATATAAAAAAATTTCCAAGTTACTGCTATCATCATCCACATTTGTAGCTGCAGTAATACCTTTGTCTGAGGTATCAAAAACTTAAGTATTTGGCACATAATTCTGGCAATTACAACACACAAAGTCATTAGCTAGTGCAGGTTGTGGTGTGCGAGAAGGTGCAGTTTGATGTGGAGAAAGTAGTCTCCTCCCACGCACTTGTGGGCTCCTACGTCGTTTCTTAGCAGGAGGTTCAGTGTGATGTGGAACAGCAGGTGCAGGCTGTTGTAGGGCAGAAGATGTAGCCTGTGGCAGCGTGGGTGGGGTGGGTGAGGCAGCATCCTTTGTGCGTAGGTAGACTGGCTTGGGTGGGAGCAGGTACGCCGCATCTCCCCACTCTCCGGATCATCTATTTCACTCTCTGCCTCACTGGAAAGCTAAGAATCTTCACTTTCTGAATATTTATCACTTGGAAATAGCTGCCTACATATTTCAGGTGAAGTTAAAATCTGTGGCTTGGAGTGGCGGCAGCTACCAAACAGGGAGGTATTACCGCCTGGGAAGATATTGGAAGCATAATGTGTTGTCTAATGGTAGACCCTGCTGCCATATGGCATCACAAAAATTGTGACCAAGTCCCAGGTTGCTGATCTGACTTTCTGCCTCATTTACACACAATTGCAGGGTCGCAATTGTTTCTCTTACTAATGACAACACAATATATATATATACTGTATACAGGTATATATATATATATATATATATATATATATATATATATATATATATATATATATATATATATATATATATATATATATATATATATATATATATATATATATATTTATTTATTTATTTATTTTTTGTTTCTCACTTTTGATCTTTCTTTACTTTTTGTATTTCTTTATTATTATTATCGTTATCAATTTTATTACAATTTTATTTACTATGAATTATTATTATTATTATTATTATTATTATTATTATTATTATTATTATTATTATTACATTACATTCCAGGCCACGATGTGGGTCAGTAACCTGTGCCCGGGTGGGCTAATCCCAGTAAAAAAAATATATATATATACTCTGTATAATAATAATTCTAAGTGGGTAATCCCGAGAGGTAGATGCGCGACCTTCCGCCGTGGTGACAACTGCTGTACTGATTATTTGCTTAAGATGTGGTCAAGGAGAAGTGTGGGCGAGCGGGGATGAGTTATTGCCGCAGTAGTAGTCACGCTACTCATGCTGAAAAAAAAAATGAAGTGCAAGATTGACGACATCAGACCCCTACTACGTTGGTCGCCCTAGGACGACATCAGACCTTTAAGGGTTAAATGCTTGAATTGTGTTGTGTTTGTGTGAAATGAATTTTAACTTTTGAAGATATATGATGTCCAAATTTATATGATATTGACTTATACAGTATATAACTCTGCCTTTAACCTGTCTACTCTGTCTATCCTTGCTATATGAGTAAATGTATTGAAGAATATATATTTGTCACAGTTTTTATCATACATATATAAAAATACGGTTAAATTTATTTTGTAGGCCCTTTAGTTTTCATAGGCCCTAGGCACAATGCCTACTTATTGGGTAATACAGCCCTGGTTTGATCCATAAAATGTACAGTACAGTACAGTATACTATTGATATATCCAATGCTCCACCAATCAAGCCTCTTATTCAACTAGTACAGTGAAGTATCTGCCAACCAAAAATATACTGTATTTCACACAATAATAAATTTTACAAAAATTATGAGCATTGTTAATACCTGGTTTGAAATTTAAAATATACAGTACGTAGATTAATGTTAATTTATTTAATTTTCCATATATTACATGAGAGTAAATGAAGAGAAATTGAAAAATCAGGCAACTGGCTCACTGACTGTGTGTGGTGGTGTAAGCAGCGAGTCTACTTGTCTTCACGTGAGTTTGAGGAGTACAGTAAGTTATACGGTGATTGTAGGATAATGATGACACATTGAAAGTTTATTTGTAGACTTATTAACATAGAAAATTTTAGAGAATAATTAAATAAGTTAGTGTACAGGTATTTGTAGAAACTAATAATACTAGCCAAATTGACACAAGCACTGTGGTTTATTGCACGCTTTCCTTGGACACATGCTTATCATAGTGTCCACTTAACATAATTACCCAATTTACGGAAGCCTCTTAGTCCTATGCTTTCTGGTTGATGGATACTTTACTGTACTTTAATAGCTTAATTATGTAATTGTTACCCAAATGAAAATACTAACATGCTTGTAAAACATAGCTATCCATATTCAAGAAAATGGAATGGTGATGCCATAAGAAAATGCCATCTCTTTATACGAATGAAGAATATATTTTCTGTATTTAGATTTAGGGGGATGGATATGCTTAATAATAAAAAAGCTCCTTCATGTTGATTTCATGTGATTTGTTTTAAAAAATGTCTGTTGATTATTTTAACTCATTGCATTAGTATTTCAGTTAGCAGCTTTGATTAGTCGGATTCACTATTAACTTTTGCCTACCACATATTCTTTCATACTCAAATCACCAAAATGTTCAACGTATTTTGTGCATCACCCACCAAGACTGTCATTTTCATATACTAGCAGCTGACTCAGTCATCTCTCATTTGGACTCACCATTCAACCTTTTTCCTTCTCCATCACTCTTTGTTTTCACCTCTTACTTCCCGATATGGATGTGGCAAGTGAATGGATACAATGCTTGCCTCCTGGCATTTTTTTTTTCTGGGATTAGCTCGCCCGGGCACAATACATTATGCTTCCAATATCTTCCCAGGCTGTAGTACCTCCCTGTTTGGTAGCTGCCTACTACCTACTAGGGTGACTGGTTTGCATTTAGGGCACTCCTGGTTGACCCAGCTATGAATATGTACCTGACCTTAGTTGGAAAGTGAAGTTGGTTGAGTGCAATGCTGGCCATGTTACCTCATTGTGTACTGAGGCTAAATTCTTGGTGAAGCAGGTGTACCCCGATAACCGATGCATGAAGGGACCGGGAAAAGCCGTTGGTTAGTGAATTGACAGTTATTGAAGCAATTAATCCCTTAAGAACATAACAAATTTATGGGGTTAGGGACCGGTCACCTTTCAAAAACTCCCATCTACCCTTGATATATTGTATTGTATCTTTGTTGTGCACACTAGCAAAGAACAAAATAAAGCAGACATAGAAAGCAAGCATAAAAAGCCTTAATTAATCAATGTAAAGTAGTCATAGAAAGGAAGCATAAAAAGCCTTAAATAATCAATGTAAAGCATAAATTGAGACTGTTATTTACTTGTGTTGAGGATGGTAGAGATGATCTAGGGTGACAAGCTCAAGTCTGTACCAATCTTTGCTGGTCCATCACCACTTTTATTACACCCTATCACATCACATCAAGCTGCCCTAGCAGAAGAGGAACTATCACTGGGGCATTTAGGCATGATTTTCTAACACATGAAGTTGGAAATAATGAAAAACACAAAATCAGAAACACATGGCAAGTGTAAACAAGAGCAAAGATGGCGGGAATGAATCAAAGGCAGTGCGGAGAGTCCTCTCGCCAGATCTCCGAGGTATCAATAAAACTTGCAGGATATTTCCCCTATATTTAATCGTCGGTTATGCGAAGTGGCTATTATTGGGTTCTCGGGTTTCGGGGTATACCTGTATAGAATCTGCACTATCCCTAATGGCCCTTCACATATATGGGATCTACTTTCATTTTCTTTTACCTCATCCAAGAAAATATTGAACAGATGTTGAGATATCATATATTATATCTTTTAAGTCATCCTGCTTTTACTGGGAACTAGTTCCTCCACTGACATAATAGAACACATGCCTTACACTTTCTGTAAAAACTTTGGACAGTGTTCAACAATATTCCATGTATTGTAAATAATACCCTGCATTTCCGACATTACTTTTCTTACAACTCAATCAGATACTTCTTCCAGCTTTATAGGTGCAACAAACTAACTTTTCTCCAGGCCCTTTTCTCTTATGGGTATATTTCTACGGGGAATGTAGCACTGTATAGATTAATAATTTCTGCTAGAAACTTTGTACAGTACAGTATATACTCGTAGATTGAGAAATATGTTATATGCATTATATAATTTAGCATAATAATCTAGATACAGTGGAGTTATAATAATTCATGGGTTAAGTACCAGAAGACTTCAATTAATTATCAAATCACAAATTACAGCTTAATTGATTTAAATGAAAAAACAATTAGTTTGGTTCCAGAAGCGCTTTAATAAACACAAAACATCTTTTATAATACAGAAAAAAATACAGATACAGATATTGTAAAAAAAATGTAGCTCTGCATTAGATAAACAGTTCCTTCCCTTCTCATTATCATCCTGTGGGTTATGCCAATACACCACCAAGACAGGCAGGCACCGGGCTGGCTATAACTGCACTTTGTAAACAAAACACTGGGAATTTGATACAACACAATAACTTATCTGGGGTTGAATACGAGATTTATTTTTTCGGGAAAATTGATTACATCACCACAACATCTTCACCACACACACACACATCACCACAACGTCTTCACCACACACATCACCACAACATTTTCACCACACACATCACCACAACATCTTCACCACACACATCACCACAACATCTTCACCACACATCACCTTCACCACACACACACATCACCACAACATCTTCACCACACACATCACCACAACATCTTCACCACACACATCACCACAACATCTTCACCACACATCACAACATCTTCACCACACATCACCACAACATCTTCACCACACACACCTCACCACAACAATCCATCATCACTACATATAACACCATCCATCATCACTACATATAACGCCACCCATCACCACTACATATAACAACATCCATCATCAATACATATAACATCATCCATCATCACTACATATAACACCATCCATCATCATCACTACATATAACACCATCCATCATCACTACAGATCGGTAAAGTAGTTTCCGAGATTCTCGTGTGGACACACAGACAGACATCTTTGTTTTATATAGATATAGATCATCACTACATATAACACCACCCATCATCACTACATATAACATCATCCATCATCACTACATATAACACCATCCATCATCACTACAGATCGGTAAAGTAATTTCCGAGATTCTCGTTCGGACACACAAACACACACAGACATACTTCTTTGTATATATATATATATATATATATATATATATATATATATATATATATATATATATATATATATATATATATATATATATATATATATATATATATATATATATATTTTTTTTTTTAATAGTGATGCCCTGTATTTATAACCTTGTAAAAACTATTTCCATACAGGACTTCTTAAACCGGTGCCTTGACGTTGACGTAGACAAGCGAGCATCAGCAATGGAGCTTCTAGAGCACAAGTTCCTCACCAAAGCAGTTAGCACGACCACTCTTAAACCTCTTATTGAAGCTGCTCAAAGGATCCTTGGGAAGCGTATCAGCCATACCCCATAGCTTTGTAAACTTAAACAAATATTATGCACAAAGGAAGATTTTTTTGCTTATTGACTTTGTAATTTGTAATAAAAGTATAAGACAGTAAAATGACACTCCCCTATATCAGAAGTTTTAGTTTACAGTAAGGTTGAATGTGATAGTGGAAGCCATCTACAAAGTTATGGTAACCTGCTGTGTTATAGTAATTCTGAGGTGTTTGTGTGTTTGAAAAACTTTTGATTTAAAGGTATACATCAAAGAAGGTCAATCATATTCTCCAGTTATTTCTATTATAATTTACTTTGGAAAAATGAAATTTTTTATTGAACATAACTTTATAGTAATCACTGTTGCTGCTGTTATCCTTCTTGTTATTAATTTGTTTTCAATTATTTAGTTTTAAGTTAAACAAATAGTGACATACTGTACTTGGTAAGTCATTTGCATTCTCATGGATTGTGAGCCAACGAGTTCACTCTGATTGGATTTCATTTTATACACAACATTCAAGGTTGTGGTATTATTAAATCTAATGCCATTGCCGAAAATGTATCATAACCTTTCATTTTCCCCTGTCTACTCTGCAATACAGTGGGGTATGCTATAACGAACGGTTTTACCTATAAAATTGAGAATGCTATAACGAACACAACTCCTACAACGAACGCGGATGAATACGGGACTATTTCGTCTGCCGCATGAATATTGTTGTACCGCGGCTCACAGCAAGAGCGTCAGGCGCCATATTGGTTCATTGTGTAGTCAGTGCACCACTGAACTTGTTGAAATTTCGTCTTGATGTAGAAATTCGTGTTATTTTTATAACTATTTTGTTATACAAGTGTACAATTACAACAATGAATCGTCAAAAGCGATTGAGAAAGCTAATAACCCTTGAAACTAAGAAAGAAATTATAAATAAACAGACAAAGTGCCTGTAAAACAGTCACCAAAGAGGGCTAGGAAGGATGACTCCTTTCCTTCCACCTCTTCTCCATAATTCTCTCCTCCCCTCTCCTCCTCTGCCTCCTGTCCTGCATGCTAACAACACTAAGGTAAGATAACGTACCGTATTTTTTACAATTTCCACAGAAATTTTTCAATGTTAAGTGGTTGTATTTGGGGGCCTGGAACGGATTAATCCTATAACGAACGAATGCTATAACGAACGAGGTTCTAGAACCAATTAGATTCGTTATAGCATACCCCACTGTATATTGATAATATATGCAGTACAGGGAACTAGTTTTTTGTGCGCCCATGAGCCGCTTGACTCACCCACCAGGCGTCAGTGTGGCTTTGTTTACAGTGGAGTGAACATTGATTTTGTTGGTGTCAAATATTTTTGCATTTTACATAAAAATTATTGGTCATTCTGAAATTTAGTTAACATATTGATAATTTAGCCAAGTCTTTCCAAGAAAACCGTGATCGTGCGGGTCCACCTGGAAAGAGGGTAGCAATCCTCACCCTTAGCTCACGTCTATAAGTGAGCAGTCACATACACTAGGAAGTAGGTTTCCCCAAATGGGGCTCTGGGAGAGAAATTCAGGAACCACTCTACGACCACCAGGCCATCAAGTGCCTGTGGGGAGTGATGAAATTTCTCTGCTACTTACTCAACCGGAATAGGTAGGCTCTGAACAATAGGAAAAACCTCCAAATAAGAAGAAAACACCACTTAACCACTGGTTATGGAGTGCGTATGCCCTCCTAACCGCGACCCCTGCCTGAACTGCCAACCCAATGACCCGAACCATGACAGGCTCCGCACAGAGAAAGAGGACCAGCTGCGGGCCATCCATGAAGCCCTGAAAACCAAGAACAACGCCATCCACACCACTGCCACCGCCCCCAACAACTTCACCACCTCTGCCACCGCCACCGAGGACGACAACTGGACGAAGGTTGAAAAAAAAAAAAAAGCCGACGTGCTTTTTCGGGAAACGAAATCCATCAAGCAGCGCAAAAGTCACCCATCACCACCAGCAGCTTGCACCCAACGACACTGCCAAAATTCCAGATCTCGAGAACAGACATGAAAACGACATATGCCGTCATCACAGAGATGGAGAAACAAAATAAACTGGCCAAGTTCTCAGTGTGGCCCAACCTAAAGGGGGCGATGTTATTCACCCCAAAGACAAGGACTCTGCCACCACCCTCGGCACTTACCTGAAAAACACCACCACCGTCGCATCAACCAAGCTGGACCCCGCCCAGAAACTGATGAAGTCGGTAGTCCTCCATGTAGCCGAGACGATAAATAGGGTTTTGTCAGGGGAGGGTACCAAGCCAATAGTGTGTCTCGGTGTAGGAGGTAACGACAAAGGAAAGGTTAGGAGTGAGGAACTTTTCTAAGAGGTATAGAGAGGCGCTAGGGAAGGTTGGAGATAGGGGAGGGATCTCGATAATATGTGGTGTCTTGCCTAGAAGAGGAGTTGGCGGTGAATGGTTGCCCAGGGCAATTGATATAAATTGCCAACTGGAAAAACATTGTGCAAGCAATGGTTGGGCATTCATTGATAACTGGCAACCATTCTATGGCAACGACTACCTGTACAAAGTGTACACTTTTGTACAGTCTTGAGGAAGTACACTTGTCTCGCACGGGGGTAAAGACGTTGTCTGCATCCCTGGAGCGTGAAATTGCAGCCAGTAGAGAGAGGTCAGGGTAAGTGGGAGTAAAAAAAAACAAGCAGGTCCTGGGGAGTAAAATTGGTTACTCAGGACAAGGGGTAAAACAGGAACAGGGAAGGGTAGGTTTAAATGTATACTTTACAAACAGTAGGAGCGTTAGAAATAAAATAGACTTGCTGAGAGCGGGTGTATGTACCAAGAATGTAGATGTCATAGCAATCACCGAAACTTGGATGAGTCTGGCGAGCAAGAACTTTTTATCGGAGTATCACAAAGACAGGGAAGGTAGGAAGGGGGGAGGGGTCGCACTCTTCGTCAGGGATACATTAAAATGTTGTATTAATAATTCAATAAAGGGTGAAATAGGAACCGAATCTGTATGGGTAGAAATTGCGGAAGGAAGAGAAAAACTAATTATGTGAGTGATTTACAGGCTCCCAAGTCTTGGGAAAGAAGCATCTCAGCCCATATGGCAGGAAATGAGTGGGGCAGCAAAATACAACAACCTGTGCATTATGGGGGATTTCAACTTCAGAAATATTGACTGGGACAACATTATAGGTGACTATGAATCTGAAGACTTCATAGATGCAGTACAGTAAAAAAAATTTAAAACAACTAATTACAAAACCTACTAGAGGTGACAATATATTAGACCTAGTATTAACAAATAAAGAAAGTATTATCAGAGATATCTTAATAGGGGAAGAACTAGGGAACAGTGATCACAGAGAAATCAGGTTCACCCTAAATTGGGAAACGAAAAACAATGAAAATATGGTCAGAGTCCCAGACTTTCGATCGGCAGATTATGAGGGGTTAAGAAGGTACCTAGGTGAGGTCGCCTGGGAACAGTCAGGTCAGTCGCCTGGGAACAGTCAGGTCAGTCCCCGGTAGGATCGGGTGAGGTCACAGGCGACAGAACAATTGATCATGACTATAATATATTCACTAGTATACTATGTAAAGCACAAAAACTAAATATACCATACAGAAAAATTAGGTCAAATAAGAATGAGCCAAGGTAGATGACCAAAAAACTTAAACATGACATAGGAATAAATTAAGAAATTTATAAGAAATTAAAGGAAGGGAGGAGCATCTCTGAAATAGGTATAATGAACTATCTAGGAATGTTAAGAAAAATGTAAGGAAGGCAAAAAGGGACTTCGAAATCAGGATAGCAAGAGAATCCAAGGTGAATCCCAAGGGATTTTTCCAGGTATATAGGACAAAGGTCAAGGACAAGTGGGACCTTAAAAGTCAAAGAGAGGGGAAGTGATCGATGATGGTGAGAAAATAAGCAAAGCATTAAACAACTGCTACTTATCAGTTTTCACAGAAGAAATTCACGAGGAAATGCCAGGGGTGGAACTGATATTTAGGGAAATGAAGAAGAGAAATTCAAGAATATCACTATCAAAAACGAGGATGTTCTAAAGAAGATGAATAAATTAAAGAAGACAAAATCCCCAGGATCGGATGAAATTTTCCCTCGAGTTTTGAAAGAGTGTAGGGAACAGATTAACGGACCCCTCGTAAATTTATTTACAAAATCATTAGATACGAAGTTGTGCCAGGCTCGTGGAAACAGGCAAATGTAATACCCATATTCAAAAAGGGAGACAGCATCGGCGTCAAATTACCGGCTGATTAGTTTGACGTCAGTAGTGGGGAAATTTCTTGATTCAATTATAGAATATAGCATTCGATCGCATTTAGAGAAAAACAAATTAATCTACAACTCTCAACATGGATTTACAAAGGGAAAAATCTTGTCTCACAAATCTGCTGACGTGTTTTAGGAAAGACTTTGAGGTAGTAGATAATGACGAAAATTATGATGTTATTTACTTAGACTTTAGCAAAGAGTTAGACAGAATACCGCATCAGAGGCTAATGAGAAAAGTTAAGGCTAAGGGCATCGAGGGGAAAGTTTTAAATTTGATAAAATCATGGCTCACCGATAGAACACAGAGGGTCAGCGTAGAGTGTTAAATCTGAGTGGGGCTGTGTAACCAGTGGGGTTCCCCAGAGGTCAGTACTGGGCCCACGCTTGTTCATAATCTACATAAACGATCTAGATACTGGGATCAGCAGTGACATAAGCAAGTTTGTGGATGACACCAAATTAAGGGGGCAGATTAATTCAGGGCAGGATGCAAATGCACTACAGGAGGATTTAAATAAACTGCAGGAGTGGTCAGAAAAATGGCAAATGAAATTCAACACCAGCAAGTGCAGCGTACTTAATAATGAAAGAACAAATACTGTCAATGTATACAGCTTTAACAACATCAACTTAGAGAAGTCGACTTGTGAAAGAGACTTAGGGGTACTTGTGAGCCCGGACCTACGGCCTAGAAAACAGTGCGTTAATGTTCGAAATAAGGCAAGCAGAGTTGTAGTGGATTCCTCCCCTACAAGCACCGAACCTTCTCGAATTCCCCAGCCTACGCCTCCAGCGCCGCCCACGGAGCGGGGGTCAACTATCTACCCACGCCTACCCACGCTTTATAAGGTCTGACACTGCTCTGACCAGCTCTCTTTTCTACCCAGTGCCACCAGCAAGCAACACCTCCTCCGCGCCAACCGTGCGGCTGCCGCTCCCTCCAGCGACCTTGGCGTCCCTCAAGCCGCGTGCCCTCACTCTGGCCACCCTCACCACCCAGCTCTCTCTACTCAACGCTTATTACCATGCTACTTACCCAGCAACAAGCTGCATTGTACATCCAATACAATATGTATACAGTGAGCACATTGTGAGTTTCCTTTCTGCATCCCATCCTGAGTGTGAACCAATATCTCATACCCCTACAGAGTATTAGGTTTTATATCTAGAGTGTAAGCAATAAGAGTGCGTAGGTCATATTGCAACTATATCTTGCGCTAGTCAGGCCGCACCTCGATTATGCTGTTCAGTTCTGGCGCCCTTACTATAGCATGGATATCAATTCACTGGAGTCGGTGCAGTGAAGAATGACGAAAATGATTCCGGGACTTAGAAACCTTCCATATCAAGATAGATTAAAGAAACTAAACTTGCATTCCCTAGAAAGACGAAGAGTGCCCCAAGGCTCAGTACTTGGACCATTATTAATTATTATATATACATAAACGATAGATATCGGTGTAGACAGCAACATAAGTAAATTTGCTGATGACACTAAAATAGGGCGTGTAATTAAATCTGACAAGGATTCCGCAAAACTACAGGAAGATCTAAAACAAATTTTCGAATGGTCTGAAAAATGGCAGATGAAATTCAATGTGAACAAAAGTAAAGTACTTAGTCTAGATGTAAACAGAGAAACCATATATCAGATGAAAAACGATGTTATAGAGAAATCCGACTGAGAATGATTTAGGAGTAATGATAAGTAGGAATCTTAAGCCAAGTAAACAATGTGTATTTGCTCGAAACAAGGCTAATATAGTACTTGGGTTCATCCAAAGGAGTGTTAGTTACAAAACTAGAGAGGTCATCCTGAAACTATATCTTGAGCTTGTGAGACCTCACTTGGAATAACCACCGACTGAGAATACACCTCGAACTTGACGAGAAATACAACCCCAGGCAGCACGGATTTAGAAAACACAGAGGAACCCATACAGCCTTAGCCCTAATTTACGAAAAAATAGCAAACGCAATGCACAACAGAGATCAATGTAACGTAGTATTAAGGGACGTAGCAAAGGCATTCGGCAAGGTCTGGCACTTGGGGCTCAAATATAAAATTACCACCCAAGAACTTCCCAACAACTTTACTTCCTTTCTTTGTAACTTCCTTGACAACAGAGAGGCCAAAATTATCATTGGTAACCACATAGGCCCAAGCATCAAGTTATACAGCGGAGTACCACAGGGCAGTAACCTCTCGCCAACACTCTACACATGATACATGGCGGACATGCCACGTCCTACACACGGAGAATACATAGCTTATGCTGATGACGTCACCCAAATCATCCGACATCCAGGCAAGGGCAGACAGATGATGGCACGAAAAACAGCCCACGCCATCGAGCAAATCAACGAATATGAAAAAAAGTGGAAAATACAAACCAATACACAGAAACTAAAGATCATACACATTGCCAAAATAAATCCAGCACCAATCACAGTCAACAACGTACCTATACAATACTCCAACGAAGGCAAAATTCTGGGACTCACAATAGCAAGAGGAGGCATAGCAAAACACATAACACAACGCAAAACGCTTGCCCAATGACAACTCGCAAAACTACGAAGATTTAGCAAAATGGGCACCAAAATTCAACTACACCTATTCAAAGCACTTGTCCGCCCCCACCTGGAGTATCCACCAATACCACTCAGCACGATCAGCAAAATCAGACAACTTAAACTTCAATCAGTACAAAACAAAGCTATCCGTAGAACACCAAAATACAAGAACTTCACGAATTATACAATATCGAACCACTGAACACACAGCCAAGCCCAGAGAATCTGTAGCAAACTTGAAGAGCTGGAGGACCCAATATTCTCTCTCTACAGACTTCGCATCAAGGAGTCCCCGAGTCCTAGCTGATAACATGTCATAGCTAGACACATGAGCCCACTTTGTTATTAGCTCATTCGACTTTTGCAGAGGGTTTGGATGGGAGACGTGTCTACTGTTTTTACCTCTGATTATGTTTATGTCTTTCCAGGCTTTGCAGAAGGATGTGTGTTGGTACAGGCTGTTGACATATGTCTCCCATACATTTTGTCTGAGTTCGTTTACACGATCCCTGACAGCAGCAAGGGAAGTTTGATACAGTTGTAACATTTGAGGTGTTCTAATTTGTTTGTAACCCTTACCCACCCTCCTGACTCTAACCCTGAGTTTTTTCAGCTCAGGGTCATTATAGCACTGCTGTTGCCTGTTCCCATTATGCTGACCACGTTTTCTCCTTTTTTTTTTGGTGGAGGCTTGAGCGGGTAGACGTCTGCTGTGTGTGGCCACCACCCCAACCTATCAACTCGTCTCAGCTAGGTGGACAGCCCACCTGCTATCACCCCCTACTACTTTACTTCCCGTTTCTATGCTTTCCTTCTCTCTTTCCTCTCCTCTCCCAGGGCAAAGTCATTTGCCACTTTACTTCATTATCATCATCATCACTTGGATTACGTAGTTCAATTCTGGTCACCGTATTATAGAATGGATATAAAATTCCTAGAAAGAATTCAGAGGAGAATGACAAGACTAATCCCGGGCATTAGAAACCTCGTGTACAGAGACAGGTTAAAGCATCTTAATTTGCACTTCCTCGAGAGACGTAGAGCGAGGGGCGACATTTACAAAGGTACTCAAACTATCCAACTAGGAGCGAACTCATAACAATGGTTTTAAATTAAACACATTTAGATTTAGGCGCGAAATAGGTAAGCATTGGTTTGAAAATAAGAGTAGTGGATGAATGGAACAAGTTACCAAACATCATCATTAACTCTAATACGCTGGATAGCTTCAAACATAAGTTGGATGGATATACAGTATGGGCAATAGGGGTTGGGTGTAAATGGGCCTGCTCAGTATAGGCCAATAGGCCCGCTGCAGTTTCCTCCATTTTTATGTTCTTATTTAAGAATATTTTGACTACCTTATTGCAACGAATTTGACCTGTTAGTTCAATCCCTTAAATTACTGAACATTAATGTTTTTAAGTATGACTCAACTATTACTAATATGTTAAGAACAGTCCAACCTTCAATGTAAATGGAAGTGTTTACTGCATTCCATGTAACAATTGAAATGGAAATTATGTAGGTCAGACTGGGAAAGCATTACAACTTACAATAAAACAGGCCAAGTTTAATAAGAGAACAGCATCTGAAAGCAGTGCACTTTTCGTTCATATAAGGAACAAAAATCACACACACACACACAATACTGTATACTGTACATAACATAAACCCTCAGTCCAAATTGACGACCGCCCACGATTCACACCAGGAGGGCGATGACCGCGTTCAGAACAACTACAAAATCAGCATCTGGAATCTCGCCTTCTTTTTTGGCCGCTTGGTCTGATATTTCCGCAAGAAAATGACGTCAGTTACAGGTGTGGGAAGTGTGTCAATGGAGGTGTGTGGCAACGACGGAGGCGCAGGGCGGAGGGAGGCTGGCGGCCGCTACTGCCACATGGTCTTCCTCAGTTGGCTGTCAAGGGTTCAGCCGCACGTACCACTGTAGAGTGTTACTCTTCCGCTGTCTGACGCTCGTGAGAGAAACTTTAGCCGCGATCACCGACCTCGACTTTACGAGTTTTTTTCACTCTCTAGATTAAGCAACAATGAATGTTTCGCGTCTATTTGTTTTATTAGCGCTAGTGGTCGCCCTAGCTCAGGCTCAAAGGCGTCAAAAACCACGTACGCAATCCCGACCAGGAGGGAGTAAAAGAAGTCGTCCCGAACGGCGGCCCTCCGTGACCCGCCAGACGGACGGACAGCTTTCCTCCCCTTCGTGCGGCGATGATGAAGACGTGAGTTTCGAGCTGATCACGGGTTTTGTGTACTCCTCGGCCGATGACATCATCGACTCCAATATTGGCACTCTGCTGCTGAGTGAGTGTATCCAGTTCTGTCGTCGCAGCCCTCAGTGCCAGGCGCTCAACTTCGAGACCGGCCTATGTGTGCTCTTCAAGACTGCCGCCGGGGAGAACTCAGGTCAGTACCATAGTGGTGTGAAAGGCCGGAAGAGGGTACCAGGAAGGAATGGGAGACAGGGTGAGGTGTGAGAGGCAGGGTGAAGGTGCCAGGGAGGTGTGAGGCAGGGTGAGGAAGATGTAAGAGTGAGGGTGCCTGAGATGTGTGAGAGCCCGGGAGGGTGTCAGTGGTGTATGAGACAGTGTGAGGATATAAGGAAGTGTGTGAGGGATTGGGGAGAGGGATACAAGAGGTCTAACACGAGCGGTGAGGGAGAGGAGGGATGAGGCAGATCATAATGAGTGAGAATGTTCGAGGATCCTTAAGTTTCAAAAAGGTTAATGAACTGTAAATGATATATGCAATGATTATGAACGATACAGAGATAAACGGGTTTAATGTAATAACAGAAGACAGAGACAAAGACCTTCCAAAAAGTATGCATCTTATTTTTCACTTTAGTTTGAGTGGCAGCTGTGATCTTAGTATAAAACCGCTCAAAATAAGATGAATTCCAAATAATAAATGCACGGTGTCTGTCAATTGAGGACAGTGTACATATTTTAGCTGCATTTTTGTAAGTCTTAGCAGAAATGAAAACAGGGAACTTCAACACAACTAGGAGTAGTGATCAATGCTGATAGGTACTAACAGGAAGCGAGTTGAGACCTGACACAACTCTTTATAAGCGAATTCGTAACCAGTGTTGTGGGATATATAAAACTGCATATACAACTAACTAAAATATCAGATAAAACCCTATTTCCTTTGTTCCCTAATTAGTATCTTGGCTACACTCTTACAGTTCTAGGTTCGTGTCAGATATAAGTTGAATATTAAAGCCCACATCTTAATATAACGACGGAGAATTTGTGCCAGCAATGTGTCCCTGAAGGTCAAGGCGATGATGTGTTTTATTACCGCCTCTAAAGGTTTACAGTAAACTGGTCCCGAAGGTGTATTAGCTAAGTGTTGTTCCGGCAGTGTACAATATGTGCCCAAGACAATAAGAATGGCGTGTCTTTGTTGCCACCATAAATTTCTAGAATTTGTTTGTTGTAAATAAATTAAGACTGGTGTTCGTGTGTTTAATGATTTGGCAGTTGAATCACCTAATTGTAACAGAAATCAGCAGTATGGGCAAAGATCTCCCACAAAACGTATTGCATAACAATAACACACTTTGGCGTTTCGTCAAATTAACGTTGATCTAACATAACCTACCTAATCCGCCCAGGTTGCGTTAATGTTTAATAAGGTGAAACAAACTGGGGGACTAATCTTCCCATGATTCAAATTATGTATAACAGTACAAATGTTCTGGACATATTGAAGCTTTAATTGACCTTTGAAGAGCTTTAGCGCGTATATCATTCGGAAAATACCGATAGGTGGAGCACTAAGCGTCTGAGATGTCTACGACACCATCAACCAGCATCCAGGAACAGGAAAACAGCATTTACATCAGGCTCTCCTCCTCGCTATTCATCCCGCTGCTGTAACTACCTGTTCCCGCCAATTATTACAGTTAGTGTGATATTACAACCTGGATATATGACTCTCCTTATGATGCTGAAGTCCTCTTGAGGGTGAAATAGGGTGATGAGGATACAATAGGAAGACAAACGTTAAAAGATGACGACAAGGGTGAAAAGAGGGAGGGTAAAGGGAGATACAGGGTGTTGGGTGTGGGAAAGGGGTTATTAAGGGTGGAAAGAGGATATGAAAAGAAAAGTAAGATACTAGGGGAAAATAGGGTGAGGAAAAGAATGTTAATGGTGAATAAATAGCGAAAGGGGTGAAAAAATTGAGCTGAAGTAAAATAAAGGTGAAATAGGTCGATGGTGTTTTGAATAAGGGGGTCTAGGGTGAAATGACCAGATAAAGAGATATAAAATAAGACTTAGAACTTGACAAAATCAGTTCGGGTGACAAAGGAAGTCACGAAGTGAATCAGAGCGGCAAGGCGAATTAGGGTGATACGATGAATTAGAATAACAAGGAAGGTTAGCGTGACAATTGTAGTGACAAGGTCAATTAGGTAGAAGGGAGGATAGTAGCAGGTGCTTGTATAGGTGGGAAGGGGGGATGGAGGGTGATGCGGGTGGAAGTGCCAAGGTCAACAGGTGTGTTGGGGTCACTCACCTGTTCCCCACCTACTTAAATACACTCGTATACACACACACCCTTCTGTACACACACATTCACCTATATATACACATCCACTCGTACACACACACACACGCCCGCATATCTACCTGTGATAAGAAGAACGGCCTCACCTGGGGAATTTGACTTTCGAATGTTTGTGAATCCGATCACTTATTGAGTTGTTGGATTAAAAGAAAACGTATTTCAGATTGTATTTTATTCTGTTGACATGATAGTGTGTTACTGAAGGGGGGGGGGAGGACAGACGCAAATGATAAAGATGGTAAATATATTTATTTTACACCACTTGGAGATTAAGCTATGCCAGCTTATTTCACCTGATGTTAAAACACCTTTAAGCTACCTCGAGGGGGGGGGGGTTAGGTGGGTTAGAGGTAGGGTGGTTAATCTTAAGAAGATAGGAAGGTTGAGACAAACAGGCAGGCAGCCAGGAAGAGACCCAGGAGTAATGACGGAAGCAGAAACAACGTGAAAGCAGGAGGGTGGGATGCGCGGGTGAGGGGAACGGGTCTGACCTTCACTCACAAGACAAGTTCAGGGTCACGTACAGTTGCCAGCGCTGGTCTGGTGTTTCATCATCATGACAACCTTCCTACATTCTACCTCACAGCGGTCGCTCACCTGTCCACACCAGTGTCTTATTACGCTCGGAGCTGGTGAGAATGCTGGTTGGAGTCACAGTGACGCGGCATGGTGTAAGACAGAGAGAAGTGGTGTTGGATGCGTGGGGGTGGGAGTGCTCAGGGTGTGGGGTGGGTAGGAGGGGGCGCGGAAGTGGGGAGGGTAGGGGGGGAAGTGGGGAGGGTAGGAGGGAGCGGGGAAGTAGGGAGGGTAGGAGGGAGCGGGGAGGGTAGGAGGGAGCGGGTAAGTGGGACGGGTAGGCGAGAGGGATGATCCGTGTACCGTTACCTAGTGTGGCGTCATCACCGGTGTCCCAGGATAACTGTACACACTCCCTTCCTTCGTCACACACCTTCCTGTCGATGCCCACCACCACGCTTGTCACTCCACCACTCAAAGTTTATTGCCCACATGTGACGTCTAAGAATTTCATTATGGTACACCGGTCGTTGGTTCTAGGAATATTTTTTTTTTTAGAAACTTTCAAACCTTTCGTGTTTCCTAAGAATATTTTCACAGAGATATTCCCTCGTGGTTTTACCTCTTTTCTTGCTGATGGTTGTATATGATATTATCACTCCTTGGCGACATCGTTCTTATGCTCCTTCATGAGCGAACGTTACTGCAAGCAAAATCCGGACTAATCTACACCTAACTCAGCCTTCATAAACGTGTAAAAACGGGGTAGAGGAGACAGCCAGACACTTGAGTGCTGGTTGTTGACTGGTTGTTTATGAGGGCATCCCCGAAACCTGACGATCAGTCTTGTATAACGAACACGATGAAAGAGTAATGTCCACCTTATTAAGTGTCCTTCTTGTAGGATATAATCAAGCTCATCTGAATATTAGGCCTCCCAGCTTATTTCACATGAGAATTAGTCATCCTAGCTAAATTCACCTGATGATTAAACACTAATGATACCTGGAGGGGTTAGGGTGTTTAATCATCACGTAAAATCATCTGGGGGCGCCTACTCTTCATGTGATTGTATTGTTACTAAAGGGTTAGGTCACCATGCCACACACTCCCGTCCTTTCATCATTATAATTGTTGGATATTTGACCCCTGTCGGAGTGAGTACTTACCTCGGCTGTTGTACGTCACTTCCGCTGATTAGTCGTAAGTCTAGCCTCTGGGATACTGCCACCAGTTCACTAACCTGTCTGAAAGGTAAGTTTTATTTAGTTTCATTCAATAAATTCAGAAACAAACTAAATTGAAGTACAAATGCAAATACAGGTACAGATATAAGGACTGGTGGTTGGCCTGTGTATGGCAGCTCCCGTCTAGAGTTACTACCACTCTCAATCATCCATGAATCTATCTAGCCTCCCTTTAAAACTTTCCAGCATTCCAGTACTTACTACAAAGTTGTTAAGCTTGTTCCACTCGCCCACCACCCTATTTGTGAACATACAAGCATCAAGGTACACATGCACGCACAGGTACACATACAAGCATCAAGGTGTCTTTACCGAGGTCACAACTACAACCCTTAAAACTGTGGGTAAACCGACACACCAGGGCAGCCTTGACCACGCGGTACTGCCCTATAACCCTAGTGGGCACGTCGCGTCGTCCCGTTAGGTGGTGGTAAAGCAGGCCAGCCGTCGTAAGCTAGTAACCCCCGTCCCTCACCGGTTAATCCTTACTGTATCTGCTGCCCGAGGTATTGGAGGTGCAGGGAACAAGATGTACTGTATGGTGCCTCGGTGGTGGTGATGTAACGGAGGCAAGTGTTTTCTGTCTCTATCTTTTTTTTTTCTCTCTTCTACTCTCTTTTCTCTTCTGACTGTTTCCTCTCCCTTCTTTTGCCCTTTTTTCTCTATCTTCTTCTGCCTCTGTTCTCTGTCTGTTTGTTTCTCGTTCTTTCCTCTTCTGCCTATTTCCTGTGTCCCGCTTCCTCTCTTTTATACGGAAGAAATGAAGAGGTATCCTAAAAAACATCCCGAGCATGAACACTTCCTCAAGAGCACCTGGCGTTCATTACCCACCTGTAACACGCCACCTGACCAAAACTCGTCTACGTGTTGAGTGTATTGGTTCTCCTATAAACTAATAACTGAAGGCACCCTACTTTATTTTACCTGATTAAACACAATAACACTACCAGGAAGAGGGTTAAGTAGGGTGAGGTTAAGTTAGATTACGTTAGCGTTGGTGGGTTATGTTATATTAGGTCACGTTAGAGGACAAGAGGATAAGGGGGGGGGGGGAATCTTCAG